GAACGAGCAATTAACACCAAAAGGGTTCTCAACCCGTGGGAGAGGAATGAGAACCACACTCTTTGCCTCAACTCTGCCAAGGCCATTGGCTGCACAGTGGTTAACATTGGCACGCAGGACCTGGTTGAAGGAAGAGTACGTTTAAAATTTTGATTCTGAAACTAGTTCGGTGTATATTTTTGGGATACAAGAATTTATGTTTTGGTTATTTATTTGCAGCCTCATCTGCTACTGGGGTTGATTTCGCAAATTATAAAGGTAGGTAGCTAAAGTTTGTTTTGACACTAAATCTAGCATAACCACGAAAAAATTAAGTTAGTTGCAGTCTTGATTATTCATTTTGTTGACTCTTTACCCTTTTGCCTTGCTTGAAACCAATATGGAAACTTCAGATCCAACTGTTGGCAGATCTCAACCTTAAGAAGACGCCTCAGCTTGTAGAATTGGTGGATGACAGCAGGGTAATACAGTTTGGAATTTTTTTCTTGTATTCTTGATTTCCAAAACCTTGCAGTTAATGAGTTTTTGGAAAAGAAGAATTTGTTAAGGACTTTCTCTTTCTTGTATCATTATGTCACAGGATGTTGAAGAGCTTTTGAGTTTACCCCCCGAGAAGGTATTGTTGAAATGGATGAATTTCCACCTCCAGAAAGCCGGCTACAAGAAACCTGTTTCAAACTTTTCTTCTGACGTGAAGGTATTTATCATCCCTCTTGTATATTTAGCAGCATGTAGCACAGTAGCAGTGTCATTATCACTCCTCTTGTATTCTTTTTCTCTTTTTTTGCGGGTAGGCGGTAGGGAATTTAGAATGCTTAATGTGATCCCATTCTCTTTCTAAAGCAAATTAACTTGAAAAGAAATGATCTGATTGATTTATTAAAACAGGTAATAAAACACAGAACATTTTTCCTGTTATAGAATAGAGTGCCAAGGACTAGTACTGTTAACAAGACTCTTTCCAGTATAATTATTCGCAAATGATATCCTCCTTCCTCACTTATCTCTTTCATTCAATCAGAACTTGCAGTTCTGTAATCACTACCACTGTTTCATTATTGATTTCTCATCAATTGAATAGACCTATAAACCAACTGATTATTTTTTCATAATTTGTAATCCAAGCACAGGATGGAGAAGCTTATGCTTACCTACTTAATGTTCTTGCTCCAGAACACTGCAATCCTGCCACATTGGATGCCAAGCCCAATGAAAGGGCAAAGTTGGTTCTTGATCATGCCGAGAGAATGAACTGCAAAAGATATTTAACTCCGAAAGACATTATTGAGGGTTCTTCAAACTTAAATCTGGCATTTGTGGCACAAATATTCCATGAAAGGTTGGAAATGAACTATCACTACTTTTTATAGTCAAATTATCCTTGTGTTAATTTTATATGGGATCGAAGTAACTAGGTAGAGAACTGAGAATAAGCATAGGCATACAATCCTGCATATGATATATTGTCAAAAGAATTTGTCGAAATCATTCTTCTAGTAGCCTAGCCTTTTGTTCTTGTCGTATATGTGAAGTATATCTCTCTTGCTAGACAGTATGGCACACTATGCTGTTAGATTGTTAGCGAAGACCACTCATAAGGCCAAACTTTGACATGCGAGCATTGCATTGCACACTCTGTCTCTATCTCTCTCCCTGGATGTGTATGTTGTTACTCTCATGATTTTTAAACAAATTGAATTATTTTAGTAATTTGTTGACCAAGAATATACCGTGTACAGGAACGGCCTCTCCACAGATAGCAAGAAGATTTCTTTTGCAGAGATGATGACAGATGATGTGCAAACATCTAGAGAAGAGAGATGCTTCCGGCTGTGGATCAACAGTCTAGGAATTGTTAGTTATGTTAATAATGTTTTTGAAGATGTGAGAAATGGGTGAGTGTTCCTAGTTTAAGCAAGAGTTTATCTGACAGAGATAGATACATTGCTTTTCCTTGATGTACTTTTTTTCATTTAATTTATGATTTTGGCACTCACAATATGTGCTTTACTTTCATAATTCGTGTATGCAGATGGATACTATTAGAAGTACTCGATAAGGTTTCTCCAGGATCAGTGAACTGGAAGCAAGCATCAAAGCCTCCAATTAAAATGCCATTTAGAAAAGTAGAGAATTGCAATCAAATTGTAAGGATTGGAAAGCAACTGAAATTCTCGCTGGTGAATGTCGCTGGAAATGATATTGTGCAGGGAAACAAGAAACTCATACTTGGTAATTTTCACTGTGTTTCATATGTGTGCACACCTTCCTGGTCCCTTAGCTTTTGAGCTTAACAGATCTACTGGAGTAACTGGTTATGTGCTAAATCAAATTTTTGGTCCGTCTTCATGCTTTATTCCTTACTGGTGTCATTTATGTAGTTATTTGATGAAGTACATACTTCTGCATCCAGAGGGTGACTTATTTTTTTAATCTGACTTTACGTTAAAGCTTCTTCTTTGTTTTCTATTCTCAAGAACAAAATGCTGTGCAGTTGTTAGCTACTCCCAATTAATTGAAATAATGATTTTTCTTTTTTTCTTTTTTTTTTTTTTCACCCAGCGTTCCTATGGCAGTTGATGAGGTTTAATATGCTTCAACTTTTGAGAAATCTAAGATCTCACTCCCAAGGAAAGGAGATGACGGATGCTGATATTTTAAAGTGGGCTAACATCAAAGTCAGAAGCACAGGCAGAACTTCTCAAATGGAGAGTTTTAAGGTTCTAACCGACTAAACCTGTTTTCGTTTTAAATGTAGGTTGGGTCATTATTCTAGATATGTTTATATGATGTATTCTGAAACCTGAGATTTCTCTCCAGGATAAGAGCCTGTCAAATGGGATTTTCTTCCTTGAGCTTCTCAGTGCTGTAGAGCCTAGAGTTGTTAATTGGAACCTTGTTACTAAGGGTGAAAGTGGTAAGCTTCTCTGCAACATTATCGTTTACAATTGAGCAAGAAAAGCCTTTGACCCATTAACCAAGTTTGAGTAAAGTACCGATGAGAAAAGTGCTTTCTTGTTGCAATGATAGCTGATGAAAAGAAGTTGAACGCTACATACATAGTCAGCGTTGCCCGGAAGCTTGGCTGTTCCATATTCTTGTTGCCTGAGGACATCATGGAGGTAACTCTAACTGCAATTGTTCCGTTGCCTCATTTACCTCACTTAATACAACGACTAAAGTAGTGACACTTTCTCATGACTTTGATGCCCTACACGATTTATGAGAATGATATTGTCACGCCATTCAGAGGAAAAAACTACAAAAAATACACCAAGAAGTCATTATTGTGATGTTATTGCAGGTGAATCAGAAGATGCTTTTGACCCTAACAGCCAGCATTATGTTTTGGAGTCTGCAACAGCCGGTTGATGACACAGAAAGATTGCTGTCCCCTGTTGACGCTTCACCGGCGACATCCATCAGCGGAGAGGATGAAAGCTCCTCTTCCCTTGGTGGTGAGATTTCAAATTTAAGCATTGACGACAGTGCCTCGGACACTACAGTCTCTTCACAGGTTGAGAATGACGGCAGCAACGCTCCTCTGGGAGGCGGGATTGGGGTGGAAGGGGAAGGAGGGTGCATAGCTGTAAAGTAGGTCGAAGGAAAAGCGTAAACAGAGAGTTCCATAAAAATATGGTTTGTTGTCAAGAGAGAAAGAAAAAGGGGACAACATTGTAAAGTATTTATACTATGTAGATAGTAACTTTCTTTTTGACAGTATAATTCACAAGATACGTTTGGCGATTGGGAATACAAGTGAGATAGGAAAAGAAAATAAAAGAGAGTAAAGGGCAAGAGCTGAAATGTACTTGTATCGATAAAGAGCGAGCATATACGAGTGTTTTTTAACGGATCGGGTTGGAAACAATTTTTTTTTTAATTTCGTTTCCAAGTTTCGGATCCGATCGAATTGATTCACAATTTTTAAATTTGGAATATCCGGTATTTTGGAATCAGAGTAATCTCATAAATTTCAAAACATAACTCAGAGATTCATATATTGACAAATTTTTTAACATTCTTGATTTTTTTTTTTTTTTTTGGTAAACACATTTTATTGTTTTCTTCATAATATTTGGTATATGCTTATGGATAAATTTAGTTAATTTTGTAATATACTATATGCTTAGCATTTTTAATATACAAGTGTGCGATTAATATAAAAAAAAAAATGAACAAACTTGATTCCAAAATACATAATTTTAATAAATAACTATAAAACATCGAATTTTAGAATTTTTTAAATATCAATAAGTTCAGCGAAAAAAAATCATAAAATTTGGAATTCTTTGAACCTCTACATACATTCCAATTTCCATTCCTAATTTCTTAAAGATATTTGGATTCAGAAATTTTCTAGTTCGAGTCTGAAAGTTTTAATATTGGAATAGGAAACACTTTCAGACTCGAACTCATATAAAAATATTTTCATATTTTTATTTCAGAATGAAAGTGTGTGAAAGTTTTAAATTGTATGTAGATTATAAGTTCTAACTTGCACCCTAAGCTTAACTCATATAATCTACATTACTCTTTGAGAGAAGAAAGACAAGCGAAACAGTAACTTAACTCTGACGAGACAATTCTCGAGTTAAACAGTAGCAAGGAATGATCATACCTTCTAAAAAGCAGGGCTTCCTTCTCTCATTGAGACTAACACAATCATAAATTTCCTTGCTACTGGTTTTCTGATCCCTGCAGAAGTTACGAAGGAAAGAGAAAACGGGGGAAAGAAAAATTACTGTTCCAGTTATTGCACCTGCAAGTTAGAAAAGACTAGACTGATGGGCTTTTCGTTGAATACAGCATTCTATGAAGCAAACCACAGGATGGAGACTGGAGATGTTGCCCTCACACAGTTGCTGTATGTCGTTCGTAGTTCATTTTTTAAAGCTTGTGAGCACTAGGATAAGAAATATGAAGCAAACCACAGGATGAAACTCGGGCTAGTAAGCCACTTGCCAACAGCAAGTCTCTGTATATTTGAAATGATAGTGTAGAGAAAAAGAAACTATCATTCCAGTGCACCAATGAATAAAGAATTCTCATATGGAAAATGCAAACACAACATAAAGTCTAGTACATCTGTGAATTATTCAATTTGATGAAATGGAAAGAAGAGAAAATTGTCCAGAGCACACCGTCTCAGATTATATAGAGACCAGAACAAACCAGAAAGTGTCAGCCCATGAGAAGTAGCAATACGCCGACCCCTCTCTCCAGAAAGCGTCAGCCCATGAGCAGTAGCAATACGCCGACCCCTCTCTCAGAAATCGAGCAACAAACAAGAGTTTTTTCCGTGCCAATCTTATTGACAATGCTCACTTCAGGCATGTGGTTTTCAACTGCCTCTATCATAATTTTGTGTTGGCATTATGTAGGTCAAGTCCAGATAATACTAACTTCTGATGCGAAGAATTATAGGAAGACTAGGTACAGAAATCCCTATCAATATAAAACGATGAATATATAAGCATAGTTTTCTCCCTTCACTCAACAGACGTAATTTCTTCTGATATGATACAGCACAACAAGAGACGAGGAACTGGAGATATCATATAACCATAAAACTCTTGTATTTGTAACTTAATGTTTGTTTTTAAGTCAAAAGAGACTAGTAGCAAAATGAATTCATGAAGTTCAGATAAAAAATTCAGTCCCAACTAAGGAGTCACCAGTAAATAAATGGATACAAAAAAAAAAAAAAAAAAAGGATGACTGGGGCCTTTGTCAGACCTGTCAAATGCATCCAAGAAATGTACTTGACTGCAACACATTGCCACCCTCTCTTAAATAATTTACTAGAAATGGCAACAATGTTTAAATAATGCACGTGTGTAAATAAAATCCTACTTCAACTCTAATTTTAAACTGCAATCTTCAGCCTGATTGGAAGAAAGAGAGAGTCTACAGATTAAAAAAGACATCGCTGCTTTGGGAAGGAAATTGCTGTCTAGTTCTATTTAATCATACAAGAGCTTAACTGATGATAGCAAACAAGTTCATATCATGAAGCTCCATCAAGAAATAAACAAAAGAAAGCACACATTGGTTCTAACTAAACATTCAATGCGACGAGGTACATGGGAAGCATAAGAATCATATGTGTGTGTGTAAGGAACAAAGCATGCAATTGCCGATACTACAAATGTTATCTGTCAAAATACCAAAGACAAAAAAAAAAAGGTCAAAACTCTTACCAGAACAAAAATGTTGTTACGAATTATCACTTGGAAAGCAGAAAGACCACTGGTGTTGTGCGTTGGACACTACCAACTCAGCTACAAGACTCGCTAATGCAAAAGGGTGGTCCAGTATAAGAAGGTAATCACCTGTGCGAGGCGCACAAAGCCAAAGACATCTTCAGTCATAACCTCATTTCCAGTTAAATGGAGGGCCAATTCAGGTCGCTGGCTGTATTCGCACAGCCAGCAAAAGGAAAAATATATATTTCCACAACTTGAAGTGCCGCAGCAAGTCACTTGGGTTAAGTTACATGGTTGCACTGAGACACACTTTAGACCCTTGAATGCAACTTATATCACAAAATTCGTTCTCTCTCGCTCTCATCCTTACTTTAATAGGTAGGAACCAGGTAAGCTTGCTTGAACAGTTGACTATATTTGGGCTTTTAAACACAGTTCATATGTTGGGAAGAAATAAGAGGAGAATGTCTAGGATTTGGTAGATCTCTTCCGTTCTAGGATGTGATTTGTCAATTGAATAAAATTGGTAAACTTGATTATCAACCTCAATCCAACTGCAACCTGGGGTTTTATAAGCATTTTGCTCCCTCAGCATCTTTCTCACATTTCGGACATCATCCCACTTCCCCAACTGCCCATATATATTGGCCAACATGGTCCCATACGCACCATTATTTGGTTCAAGTTGAATCAACCTTTTAACTGCAATTTCTGCGAGATCTGTGCGACCATGAATCTTACATCCATTAAGCAGAGAACCCCATATGACCTCATCGGGTTCAATTTTCATTCCCCTCACAGCTTCCATGGCTTCCTCAAATCGACCTGCTCGACCAAGAAGGTCTATCAAGCATCCATAGTGTTCTATCTGAGGCTCAATCCCATAACCCAGAGTCATCAAATCAAAATAAGAAATACCTTTCTCTACCAACCCTCCATGCGTGCAGGCATTGAATAAGCCTACAAAAGTGACCTCATCTGGTCTTACATCAGCCCCACACTGTATCATGTCCTCAAACACACAAATTGCATTGTCACTATCGCCGTGCAGAGCATAAGAGTTTATCATGGAATTCCAAGAGGTCAAGCTTTTTTGCGAGGTCCTGTCGAAAACCCTTCTTGCCACTTTCAAGCTCCCACATTTCCCATACATATCTACTAAAGCATTGGAAACAAATGAATCTGGACCAAGCGCATTTTTGTAAACATAGTTGTGCATAGATTTACCAAGCTGCAGCATGCCAGTGTGACTACAAGCCGAAAGAACACATACAGCAGTAACCTGATTCGGCCTATTTTCTCGATGTTTCTCCCCATGTGCAATATAAACCATTTTTTTGAACAGAGAAATTGCCTCCGAGAACTGGCCATTCTGCGTGCACCCCGCAATAACAGCATTCCAAGAAGGGACATCTCTCTCTGGCATTTTCTCGAACAACAACAGAGCACCACCAATGTCCCCAACTCTAGTGTACCCAGAAATCATAGCCGTCCAGGTCACGACATTTTTCTCAGACATTTCATCATACACCCGCCTTGCTGAGCCAACATCGGAGCGGAACCTCGAGTAGGAATCAAGAAGAGCTGTTTGCACAACAGGGTATTGGCCAAAACCCGATTTCATGATGTGGGTATGCACCAATTCAGTCCCGTGAGACTTAAAAACCTCTGGACTAGATCTCAAGATGTGGGGGTAGATAAAATGGTTGGGTTGAGGGCTTCCCTGACAAAACATGCGTCGGTACAACAAAAAAACAGAATGATGGTGGGACTGGGAGGCATAACCGGCAATCATGGCAGCGTAATGGTATACATTCGGGTAGTGGAGGCAGTCGAAGATGAGGCGAGCATAGGGAAGGTTGGCATTGGGGAGAGTGACAAGGCAGAAGCGGACGAGCTTGAAGGCGTAGATTTCACTCTGGCCGTAACCAAGAGTGATGATAAAGACGTGCAGTTGCTTTAGATGGTTGAGGGTTTTGCATTTTGCAAGTAATTGGTTTACATTCAACATCTTCTCTCCTAATTTTGTGTACAAAACTGGAAGACACACACACAAACTTACACTAATGCTGCATTTTCTCTTCGTCAGACCGGTTAAGACTCCAATACCGAACCAGCAGCAAGCATTGATGAATGCCCAACAATCACATACAAGCTACAGACATCAGTTTGGATTAAACCCGAATTAAATCTTAAAATTCACACTTGGTACATGTTAAATAACAAATCTTCAAAACCTAACACAAAATCCCCAAATTTCCCCAAATCTACAACGAAAATTAGCTACAAATTTAACAGGAGTTCCTTTTCATTTTTAATTTTAATTTGGACAAAGGTTTAAGGTTGTTTAAAACGAATGAGAATTCTCTTTTATGAGGATCGTTAAATTGTTTGTTTATCTTACATCAGTAAAAAATTATTTTAAATATTTTTATTTAAAATCAAATATAAATCGTATCTGATGAAAATTGATCGTATAATGTACAATGAAATGGACACGATTTGAGAATCCTCGGGATTCTCACAAAAAGGATACGGAGAGGATCCTCATTAGTTTAAGACCATCTCCAACTTGGGTTAAAACCAAAAATTTTAACCCATAAAATTTAGGCATTCACTCAAAAATAGTTTTTCTGCTCTAATATTTTGGGTTAAATTTGTAGTTCGAAATTATTAAAAAATGAATTTAAGATTTTTTTTTTCTTGAACTTTTTTAAAAATAAATAAATTATGTAGACTTTCCTAATTTAATTTTATGAACATTTTAATCAAAAAATATTTAAATTCCGATAAATATTGAAAAATCAAAACTGACATCATAAAACTCGTGAAACACTATGAAAAAATATTGAAGATTTTTTTTAATTATTTTAGCCGTTAGATTTGAATTGGACCATTAGGTCTTTTCTTATTACCGTTGGATTTGATAATATTATATCTTAACCGTTAGTTTCAATAAATTTATAAATATAAAACTAAAAAAAAAAAAACATATATGCTGGGTCAGCCTAATAACTCAGGATGAAATCTTAACCTAAATTTGCTATAGAAATGAGTTTTTGGTTAAAATTCATATTTGATCCAAGAGTTTGAGTAGGTCTAAGAATTGAATTAGCCTTAAATTTACTATTCCCCATTGTATTCTATGCATAATCTCATTTTACCTAGTATACTCTATTATTCTTTATTTTTACATTTGAGACATTGAAAACCCTAAATTATATTAACACGAAAAACGAAAGAAACCAAGCCTAAGCCAAAATTGCCCCAGGTTCCCTCCATACGAACCCTAAATGGCTCAATTTTTTTGGTATTAGTTCTATGTATAACTTAGTAAGTTGTTATTAACACTTCAAAATCCTCCCAGTGTTAGTGAAGTGAATTTGAAAAGTCCTTCCTAGTAAGGTGAATATGAGAGGTGAAGGGGTGCATAATGATTTTTACTTCTATTTTTTAATAATATATCCTCTGTTTACTAACAAGAAATGAAAATGTGAAGTATGTGTATCACTAACATTATGTGTGAGTGACCGGAGCTTTCTGATTTTGTTTAGCCGCCGGCCCTAGCAAGGCCTGGGTCGGTGGCAACCTCTTTCTTCCATCTCTGTTTTCTTTTCTTCCTTTTCTTATGCTTCTGTTTGATTCTGACCAATCTTTTTTCTTCCTTTTGCATCGGATCTAATGGAACCTTGGCCTTCGTCGGAAATTTCTCAATTCCGACCATCTCTTTTCTCTTCCCCTGTTGTCTTCCAACATCCATGACTCTTTTCAGCCCATCTTCTACCCATCCCTTATGGTTCTGGCCTCTCTCTATCCCACTATTTCTCATATATGCAACCGTATTTTCTAAGTGCGTTTCGCAGCTCTCTTGGAAGGTGTGTAGAGTGTATACTCGGGTGGTCACATCACCATCTTCCATGAGTTTCATTTATTTGTTGGTTGCAGATTTTGATTTTGTGGTATGATGGAAGAGGGTGGAATTAGCTTGATTTCCGGTTTGGAGGCTTCGTTTGGTTGGATTCCGATGACTGCAAGAGGCGATGGTTCGTTGTAGGCAATTCGTTTTTTTTTTTTGGTGGTTTGTTGTCAGCGATGTTGACTGCGTCTGTTTTCTTAGGGTTTTTGTTTTTCTTTTGTTTGTTTTGGCTCAATATTTGGGTTGGGTCTTTTGCTTTGGGATTCTTTTTGTAATTTTGGGCTCTATTTGTATTTGAATTCCTATATGTATATTTTTCTTGTGTTGGTAACGAAGAATTTACCTTTGTACCAAAAAATAAATAAATAATTTGTTCGTTTATAGTACACAAAGAATGACTAAAGAAGTAGGTTCAATGTTAAAAACATGTGTTCTATTCCCAATTTTGATAACCAAGAGGGAATATTATGGGAATAAGTAGATTTAATGTTAAAAACATGTGTTCTATTGCCACTTAGTATTACGGTTTAGTGAGATTCTTTTTCACTTGTAAGTGAGAGATCTTAGGTTCAATTCTCGTCAAAGGCAAATTTGAACTATATTATTGCTAGCTCATTGTGAGGCCCACCCCTTCCCCTTAGCGTAGATAATATCATTTGTTAAAAAAAAAAACATGTGTTCTATTCCCAATTTTGATAACCAACAACAACAAAGCCTTTTTCCCACTAAGTGGGGTCGGCTATATGAATCCTAGAACGCCATTGCGTTCGGTTTTATGTCGCATCTTCCGTTAGATCCAAGTACTCTAAGTCTTTTCTTAGAGTCTTTTCCAAAATCCTTCTAGGTCTTCCTCTACCCCTTCGATCCTAAACCTCTGTCATGTAATCGCATCTTCTAACTAGATCGTCAGTATGCCTTCGTTTCACATGTCCAAACCACTGTAACCGATTTTCGTCTTTCCTTCAATTTTGGCTACTCCTACTCTACCTCGGATATCTTCATTACTAATCTTATCATTTCTCATGTACCCGCACATTCAACGAAGCATTCTCTGCTACAACTGTTTTATGTACGTGTTGATACTTTACTGCCCAACATTCCGTGCCATATAGCATTAATGGTCTTATTACCAAGAGGGGATAATTGGACAATTTAATTACCACGTGTTGTAATCGTATAAGCCATTCAATGTGTGGATGGCCAACCCACTGCTACCCACTACAACTCTATATGTTTGTCTACTAATCCACTTGCTACCTCATTTTTCCATATAAAATCACACACAAAAACACAAAGTTTTACAGCTAAGAAGAGAAAAAAAGAAAGAAGGAAGAAGAGAGGAAGAAGAGAGAAGCCACAAGGCTCACGACAGAGAGAAGAAAAAGAGAGGAGATAATATAGAGAGAGTTATCTTTGTAATCTTATGATTTAAGATTATAAATAGAAGCATTGCCGCTGCTTCGATGACGTACTCCAGTCACACTAACTGTAAAGGAACCTCGTAAATTTTGGGTCTTGTTTCATTCATTTCACTGCACACATCGTCGATTTTATAACACGTTATCAACACGAGAAGTTCTCGTGTCAGTGGAAATCACAACGCCACAAATCCTGTTCACCTTTGTTGCCTAGAATCTCACATATAAGAAAATCTTTTCATTTCATCTTAAAATCTTTGTACTATTGATTTTCCTGAAGCAAAGAAAAAAAAAAATATATATATATATATATGTTATTGTATGACTGTATATCATCTTTCGTAGAAGCAATGGCAAAAACTACAACGAATCCTAGTATCACACAAAAAAGGAATGTTGGTAAATTGATTATTAGAGTATTAGTTTAGGGATTAGTGGAGTATTAGTTTAGGGGTTGCTAAATTGAAAAGAAGAAATACGGCTGTAATAAGGATTATTATACTTGCATTACATGCATTAAATTCCACGGATTACAACACTCAAACCTTCCATTCCCAAACCCTCTCTCTCTCTCTCTCTCTCTCTCCCCGACGCCATTTGCCCTTTGATCTCTCAGCTCAGTAGGACGCCGTGTCGAGTTGATTCTCCGAAATGTCTCAGGTATGATCTTCCGCCCAAACCTTGAAAATTTTCTCTTCTTTCCTTCCAAAATGTGAATAATTTATTTTTTCTGTTTCGACATTGAACTTGTGCTTGTTGAATGAAAAGGGTATCGCAATTTTTTTTTTTTTGTGACTCTTTACATCTTCGGTTCCGCTTTCTACTTTTGTGGGTACTATGTACCAAACAGTTATTCTCAAGTTTGAATATTTGAAATCTCTATTTGGTATCATATTTAAAATTTTTACCATTTTTCAAAACATTTCTTAAAAATTTTTTTTGAAAACAATTTTTTTTGAAAACAATTTTTTTAAGGTTTAAAAACTTATTTGGTATGTGATTTAAAAATTTTAAATCTTATAACTTTAATTGGACAAAAAAATCCAAAAAGAGGGGGCCGAGAGAAAAAAAGGAGAGGAGAAAAGAAAGGAAGACATGATTGGAAGAAAGGGAAAGAAAATAGATGAATGGAAGAGATAAAAAGGAAAAAGAGTGAGAGAAAGAACCGAGAAAATAAAGAGAGCAGATTGAAGGTGAGACAATATAGGTAAACAAAGAAGGGGGAGATAGAAAGTAGAAAAGAGAAAGATAGATTTGGAGCGAGAGGGAAGGAGAGAGAAAAAAGAAAGGAGACTCTAAAAACTCAGTTTTTGTTTTTTTGAAAAATAGACTATATTTTTGAGTTAAACTTGAGTTCAGTTTTTGAAAATAGTCATACCAAATAAGTTTTTAAAGCTTAAAACTTAAAAATTGTATTTGAGTTTAAAAAGTTCGATTTAAGAAAAATATCAAAACTCAGCATTTCACTGAAATTGAACACAGCAATGCCAACAAAATTGCCATGTTTTTTCGGATATTTTTCGGTTTCTGCCCTTTTAATATAAGAAGAGGCATATAACAAATCATTTAGAAAAAGAGAAAGTTGCAAGATTGATGATGAACTTCGTCCTTTTTATAATGATGTCCTGCTTTTTTTTTTTTTCATTTGTCTTCAAGTACATTGCATATTTGAGTTTTGGTATTTGTTTCTCATTCGTTGTTTCCGAGCTATATAATGTTTAGAGCCAGTGAATATGTTGGATTTTCAGGACATTCAATATGCCAGAATGCTCGGATTTATGGATGAGGATATGATTAGTGACGCAGAAGATGACTCAGTTGACATTGATGGCATATTTGGCTATGTCTGTTGTATATGCGATGATGGTGGCGACCTTTTGTGGTATGCTCGTGTCCTCTTGTTCATATAATACTGATGGTAAACTCAGAAAATCTGTTATGAAATTTATTTCCTAGAATTTACGGGTGAATGTTTATATGTTCTTGTACAGCTGTGAAGGGAGGTGCCTTAGGTCCTTTCATGCGACTGTAGAGGCTGGAGTGGGATCTGGTTGCAGATCTCTCGGCTTTATGCGAGGTGCTGTCGATGTATGCTCATGTTATATATATATACTTTGAAAGTTCTACTTATTTGTTTTCATTTGTCATTCTGTTGTTATCGTCATCATGACCTTCGCTAATTATATATGTTTTTTGAATTGATAGGTGATGTCAACTTTCTTATGCAAGAACTGTAAATTTAAACAACATCAGTGCTATGCTTGTGGGGAGTTAGGGTCCTCTGATAAATCTTCGGGTGCCAAGGTATGAGCTTGTTGTAACTCGAAACAAACTGAACTGCTGTTGAAGTTTTGGTATCCTGATGTTGGATTAGTTTTATATAGTTGTACTGTATGAAGTGCCACTTGATTATTTTTAACCCTACTCAAAGAGTTCTGTAATTTCAGAACTCGTTTGATTAGTCAGAAATATCCTATTTCCCTCATATTCCGCTTACTATATCATTCATTTAATGCATTCACCATTTCTGATGCAAATTTTAGTACGTACTTTTTGGTCACTTTAGAGTTCTCTACCCGTTTATATTTCTGATTGAATTTTTATTTACTAAGATACTTGAATTTCTGCTTCTGTGAAAGATCCGACCTTTTCCTTTTTTTGTTGTTTTATTAAATAGCCAACTTTTCCTTGTATTTCTGTGACTCTGTCAGAAATCATCAGTGTATCCTTTTCTGCCTTTTTATGTTATTATCACTAGTATTGTCTGTAGTAGTATGTATGTATGTATGTATGTATGTATGTATGTATGTGTGTGTGTGTGTGTGTGTGTGTGCGCGCGCGCGTGTGTGCGCGTGTGTATTGTGTGGCTTTATTTTAAAGAGTTCTATTCACGTTCCCTTAGGTTTTTCCCTGTGCTTCCGCGATTTGTGGTCGTTTTTACCATCCTCGATGTGTTGCAAAGTTACTTTGTCAAAATAATAGAGAATCTGCTGAAGAACTTGAAGAAAAGATTTCTCTGGGGGATTATTTTACGTGTCCAGTTCACAAGTGCAGCGTTTGTCAAGAAGGGGAGAATAAGAAGGTCCATGAATTGCAGTTGGCTGTGTGCATGCGTTGCCCTCAATCGTACCATAGGAAATGCTTGCCAAGGTACTCTTGATGGTCTTTTCTTTTGTTTTATATTGAATATTAATGTTACTTCATTTGAGCATCTCGATGGTTGATGCTTGAATATCTTGTAACAGGGAGATTGCTTTTGAGGAGAAGGGTGGAAAATTTGGAGAAGGGAGATCAATACAAAGAGCCTGGGATGATCTACTTCCAAACCGCATACTAATATATTGCACGTATGCATTATTTTCTTTGATGAGCTGTTTTTATTTACCTTTGTTGGCTGTAACTACGAATGGACCATTGTTTTGTTTTCTTCTTTTCACCAGGAAGCATGCGATAAACAGCTACACTGGATCTGCAGCAAGGGACCACATAAAATTTCCCGAATTTGAAGAGAGGAAGAGAAAACAGGCATTAGAGGAGCTTGTAGCTAGAAGGAAAGCTCCATCTAAATCAAGAAATGATTACTATGAAGAGTTGTGTAGGGGGAGAACTGTTCCCACGGTATCCAAACCAAAGCAAAAACCAGTATCTAAACAGGAGCAAAGGCCATCTTTTGCTGTGAATCATGAGAATCCAGATGTACTTAGTGTTGATTCAGAGAGGAGGTAACCTTATCAAACTTATACAATTATATTTCTATCTGTGTTATTACACCCTTAATTCGACACCCTTTTATGTAGTCTCGAAGGGATTTGGTATGATTATAGACAATCGTGGGTGTCAATATTATTGGTGGTTTCTGTTTTCTGTTTTAATGTTGACTTTTGCAATTTAGAGTATTGGATCTAATGGAAAAAGCTGCATCTTCATTAACTCTGGAAGATGTTATACGTAAGTACCCAATTCCGACAACTCATGCATACTCATCAAAGTTTTTTGTGAACAAGAAGATGTTATTAGGAAAGGTGGAAGGCTCGACTGAGGTACATGTAGTGAAAAATCCAAATATTATTTCAGTCTGTAGACAGCGCTATTTGTAGTAATTTCTCTTATCAATTAGTTTTGTGATGTCGTCTCTGTATATTAAGGCTGTTCGAACGGCCTTACAAAAACTAGAGAACGGGTGCAGCACTGAAGATGCAGAAGCTGTCTGCGAGCGTGATGTTCTTAACCAGATTTTTATGTGGAAGGTGGTTGCTTATTCTTGTAGCATCCTACATTGTCTCTCATTTTTATGTGAAAAAATCTTTTCATGGTGATGCTCTTTGCTTTAAATCTATGCTATATTTGTTAATGCTTTGATGATATACATGCCTGATATGCTAGACTTATCATATGAGTCTGTTGCCTACTCTGTCGGGTTCTGGTCTGCAGTTTGTAAGGAAATGCGAAGTTGGTCCTTTTTATACAGACCAACAGACACTGTACAGAATAATTTTGAAAACATTTAAGTTCTGATATTACCACATTAAATGTTAGTGAAATCTGAAGTTTGTGGCTCTGCTGGTCCTTGTGTGTATGTGAAGTTATGTAATATTTGTCAGTCTTTTGGTCTTGATTATCCTTAGTTACCTTCTTTTACTTTTGTAAGGTATTTGTACTGATCGTTCAGATTACGACGTTCTCATAATTTTTCATTATACATTTACTTTGATGCAGAAGAAGCTGCATGTTTATCTCGCTCCATTTCTTAATGCCACGCGCTACACATCCTTTGGCCGCCATTTTACCAAGGTGAAGAAACTGGAACAGGTAATCTGGTCCTGTTTTCTATTTCATAACTATGTTAAATATTCCTATCTTGTTTTACGGTTTTACCTTTGTTCTGTTTCTGTATAAATATTTTCTTGCCCCCCCTCTGATTCCTTGGATTGAAAAACTTCTCCATCTCACTTACGTATCAGTGTGTGACGTATGCTTAGTTGCTTACTGAAAAATCAGGCTAGTTATAAATAAAGGCAAATAAATAATTAATACCAAATTTCTCATTGTAATAAATAATATACTTGACAAAAGAATAAATGAAATTTTCTTTTGCATAAATGAAATTCTCATTGGCACAAGGTGATAAGGAGCAAGTACGGCTTGCAGGCTAATGGGTGGGATGCAAATCCTTCGCTGCGTGTTTCAAGTCGTAGCCCTTAGATAGATACTTTGTCTGGTCTTTCATCATTCCTAGAGTGCTGCAAGTTTGAGGTGGGCAACAGGGAGAGGGTGAGGTTTTGGGAGGATGGTTGGTTGGAGGGTGGACCATTGAAAGCAGTATCCTAGATTATTCTTGTTATTGAGAAAGCACGACCAGAGCATTTCAAGTTTTGTGGATTTTTCTCTTCAGTCTTTGAGCTGGAATTTTGATTTCAGAATAAATTTGAATGAGCAGGAGATAGCAGAGGCGGCTAGGTTATTACAGAAAGGTGGAAAATGTTTGTTTGATTCAATCAAGAGCAGATAATATAAGGTGGAAACTATATCAGAATTGTTCACTTTCAAATCTTATAGCCCTTTCTTGTGCAACAATGGATCTGTGCAACATTTTCCACCCTTTTCTCAGATTTGGGAATCAAGAATTCCTCCAAAAGTCAAAGTTCTTGTGTGGTTAGTGGCTATTGGGAAGGTGAACACCAGTGATCAAGTTCAAAGGCGAAGGCCTTTTATTTATATTTCTCCCCATTGGTGCAGCTTGTGTAAATCTGAGGAGGAGAGTGTTAATCATGTTTTTCTCCGTTGTTCTTACTCAATACAGTTGTGGTGGAAATTGTTCCAGGAAGTTAGAGCTAGTTGGGACATTCCAAGGGGTTGTTTCGAGCTTCTAAGCACCAAGTTCAAGGCTTTAGGAAAGGGGAGGAAAGCTAAAGCTTTGTGGGGCTTATTGGTGTTAGCAGTTTTTTGGAACATTTGGTTGGAGCGTAATAGAAGAGTTTTGAGGATTATAATGGAGTGGGGGTAGAAGAACTATGGGGTAGAGTAAGATACTGGGCAGCCCCTCTGGGGCATCAGTTTCGAATGAGTTCAGGGATTATTCTCTTTCTCATATAGTGTGGGATATGTTAGCAGCAGTAAAATGATTTTGGTTCAGTTTTAGTTACTTGTAGATAGATGTACTTGAGAGGTCTTAGCGAGTTTTGCTGGATGGTGGATTTCTTATCCACTATTTTGTAATTCTTGTTATTGTTTTAATAAATTGTTATCGTTTCTTCTCAAAAAAAAAAAAAAAAAAAAAAAAAATTCCTGTCCTGTTTTCACATTATGATGTGATATGACTTCCATGTAAATTGGTCCTGCCATCAAACAAAAGTTAATTAGACGCAGGACTCTTTCAAATATAGTTGCAAATATAGTTCGTTTAGTTTTATATTATTACCTCTTTCCCATATTGTTCCGCCACTTGAAACACTGCATTGATGTGTAAAAGTTTGATTGTTGCCTCCCTCGTTCAAACAGTTTTCTCTATTTGTTTATCTTTTGTGTGGTTATCTCTCTATTAAACTTGAATGTGCATAACTAATACCAAAGAGAATGATAAAATGATGCATTGAATGTGCAGATTGTCGATAGGCTCCATTGGTATGTTCAGCCTGGAGATATGGTAAGCATATATATACTTGTTTCTGTGAAATCTTGAGTACTTTGGTGTTGCAAGTGCAATTTATATCTTGTCTTGACCTCCCATTCTAATATACATGAGTCACTTCACATACCTATTATATATAGGCGTTCCCATTTTAAGAAAAACATCCTATAATAATCATGCCAAACTTGAACGTAAAATTAATGTTTAAAAACTAAATTAGTCCCCGTAATACAGACTTTTAATGACATTATTGGAATTCAAGAGAAATTTCCATACCTAATTAATCTGTGACACAGATGGCGTCCACGCATAATTTCTAAGCGTGCCGCTTAGGTTAAAATATTTGAATAAGGAACGGCAGACATGACAATGTTTGAAAAACCTTGGACAGGGTAACCTTTGAGGTGAGGGACCAAAGTGCAATTTCGGGGAAATTACAGGGGTGAAATATGTCACCCTAAAGAGTGTGCAATATATTGCAAGAGAAACCAACTCATTCCTATGATACTATAGATTTTATATAAAGCAGATTTCCCATGGGAAGAATATAATAGTTGTTAATTAAGTTATCTTGATAATGTATGAACTTGCGTGCAACTTACAAATTTATGTTCTCTAAAAAATTTTAAAACAGAAAATTGCAAGCGAGTTATCTTTGGAAAATGGTTTCCGCGTTCTGGGATGTTCATTTTGGATACCGACCTTGCGCTTGATTAATAATTGCTAGTGTTCGTAGTTTTCTATGTGCACGCATATTAGGTATATGTTAGCACCTGATTACTTATGATCCCAATGAGCAGATAGTGGACTTCAGTTGTGGTTCCAATGACTTCAGTATCCTAATGAGCAAAAAGCTTGAACAGACAGGGAAGAACTGCTTGTATAAAAACTATGACTTGTTTCAGCCAGAGGTAATATCCATTATTTAAGTTCTTGTAATGCCTATTGCATATGATTATGATCTCTGTAAACACGGTGGTATGGGTCACCTGCGTTAATACTTGACATTTTTATTAAGAATTTGGGCATGTTGTTTGAAACGCTTGCTTCTTCCATTGGTCTCTTACACTATGGCTTAAACCATCATATCTCCTAATTTTGTTTGGTAGACGGGGAGGAAAATAAGTTTAAGGCATATCACACTGCTAAAATAGGTTGACGCGCACAAAATCTTTTCATCTTTTATCTCACCAACCTTTATGGTATTGGACCCCATTGGTTATGGGAGGCCTTGAGAGGTCTGCCTCCCTTCCACTTTTCCTCTCCCACCAAACAAGAGATGTCCCATTCTTCCTTCCCTTTTTCTCTGCCCCTCCATTCACCCCTCTTATTTTCCTTCTGAGCAGAAATAGTGCTGTGCAGTGTGCATTACTTTGAGAAGCCGCAGATTTCTTACAGTACAGATCAACAACATATTGTGGTTGCTCATACATTTTACCGACAGTTTATCACACAGAGAAGTGTCTTGGGCTATTTTTGTTGTTTTTTCTTAATTTCTGAAGCTCTTAAGTAATCTTTATAAGGGGGACCTCCTGTATTGAAATTGTTTCTTATAGATTTGCGAGTACTTACAGTCGTTTGCTGCCCGTTTGAATCCCTACTGTATTGAAGTTTTGGGATTTACTGGGTCTTGGGCATAGCAGAAATGAAATTTGGACAACCCACACTTGATTTCTATACCTGGTTCTTGATTCCGATCAGCATCATTTGTGCTTAATAAAGTTATTTTAAGATGTTTATTTTTATTGTGGTTATTTGCCTCTTCTTATGTTGTTCTCTTATATAGGTTGGTTTGTAGAGCGTTCTATGCATGTGCTGATTTAAATGCTCAAAAAAAGACAAAAAATGTAGGAAATTCTTGTTTTGATGTACATTCCGATTTGGCAGAACGATTTTAATTTTGAGAAGAAGGATTGGATGACTGTCAAAAGAGAGGAGTTACAGAAAGGGGCGCCACTGGTAAAAATCGAGGCTTCGTTTTTTAAATAACAAGATGTCTGGGTACGAAACCTCACTATTTCCTTATTTGCTTCTTGAGCAGATCATTGGACTGAACCCTCCTTTTGGAGTCAAAGCAGCTTTGGCGAACAAGTTCATTGACAAGGCTCTTGAATTTGAGCCAAAGCTCCTCATTCTTATTGTTCCACCAGAAACACAAAGGTAGTGTGCAGTTGTCCATCTCTCTCATCTCGCTTACTCACAAACACACAAATGCATCCTCATTGGGTGTATGGGGAATGTCCATGCACACGGGATTGTGCATGGACACGCATACTTCTGGCTTTTCATTATATTCGACCCAAATTTGTTATTATGTTCCTCATGTAAGCCTTCCACCAGGTTGGATAGAAAGAAATCACCCTATGAGCTGATTTGGGAGGATGATCGGTTATTATCTGGAAAGGTAAAGCTAATATATTAGAATCTCAGTTTCCTGAGTTGTATATTAGAATCTCAGTGTCATGGTGGCTCGTGTCTCTGTGCAGTCATTTTATCTTCCTGGATCGGTCGACGTGGATAACAAACAAATCGATCAGTGGAATTTGATATCGCCGCCACTTTATCTTTGGAGTCGTCGTGATCGAGCTGCTGAGCACAAGGCCATAGCTCAAAAGCAAGGCCACTCCTTTGGAAGATAGGATGAGGGTGGAAGAGGTTTATCTGAGCAAAAGCGCATGTAGATTTGTAGTTCCAGGAAGATATGGTTATGACCCGAATTAGGATCAGAGGTTGAGAAATCATGAGAAAGCACAATAGAACCAAGTAAGATTAATACTTAGATGATTTTTATTAGTTCTCAAACACTCGTTTCATTAGTAAATTTAAAGATTATAAAAGAATTTTAAAATGACGAAAATTGATATACAGAATTTTATTTTATAGAATTTGTGAATTTTCTTGTTTGGTTAACCTAAAATAATAATAGAATTTGAATATGGAATTTTTTATTTTAAACTCACTCACAGAATGGGAATGATATCTATTTACATGCAATTTAAACTTTAGAATTGGAGGTCTCAAATTCCAAGTTTTTCTTCCACACGAAAAATTCTAAATTTATGTATTTATGAATCCAAACGAGAGAATTGGTGTATATCAATTTATAAATTCAGATTTTTGTCAAGGTTCCAATTTTATTTCTCTCATCCAAACATAGTGTATCTAAATCTAATAAATGAGTGTGTAAATGGACTTGTATCTTATTAGAGCCGTAATTGAGGATGGCTGGGAGAGTTGACTGTTAAAAGAATCCAAAACTAGCCGTTCGAGAAAAACCAAAGGAAAAATTCTTTGCCACCAAGCCTTTAGCTTTGGAGTCAGCGACAATCTTCTTGAAAATCATTCTACATCTCTTTCCTCTCACTTTCCGTTTACATTTTTGGTGTTGAATTATTGTCGTGAAACAGTTTGATATAAGGTTGAAGCGGAAAGCCAGGGAAAATGTTGATCTATTTTGAGATTGAGTTTAGTTAGTACAACATTAGCAGGTGCAACGATATAGCTTTCCGATGTCCGGAGGATGTCGGTAACATGATTTTATCCTTTTATTTTGTTTCTATTTAATAATTTTGAAGAATTGTCTTGGAGTTTGGTTTGATTTCTCTTGGTAGGAGAGTTTGCTAGTTTGATTGCTCTCTATCGGAGAGTGCTTGTTTTTAACTTTCATTTTGATGTGCTACCTCTTTTGGATCTTTTGGATTTATGTGTGAAGGGTGGAGTTGTTTGATTTGTTGAATCTACTTCGGGCTGGTTTGGTATTGTTGTGCTTTGAAAAAAAAACTGCTTCTGCTATGCTGTGAGAATAAGCAGCTGTGAAATAAAGCAGCAAAGTGTTTGGTAAACTTTTTTGTAAAAGTGCTTTTGAAAAAAAAAACAGTATTATAGTGTTTGGTAAACTTTTATGTAAAACAGATATGAAAAAAACTGGTTTTTCAAAGCTGGGTTTTGCAGCTTCTTGTTTTTGGCTTTTTTTTCACCCAAAACTGTGAAAAAAACTGAAGCTGAATGTTTACCAAACACAAAAACAGCTCCCAACTTTTTTTGATACCAGCTTCTTTCAGAATCACCTCAGTACCAAACCAGGCCTTCATTTGGTGTTCTAGGGTCATGGTAATGAATTTTTTTTTTTTTTTTTTTTTTTTTTAAAGAACTAGAAAATATCATTAACCAGTGCTGAAGCCAATGAGAAGTACAGAAAGCCACAAAGGGCAAACAACGACATACAGGAAAACGAGACTAAAGGAAAAGCTACGACACGAAGAACCATTCGTGTCACCCTTAACTCGCATCAAACAAAAGCTAAGTTGGAGGGCAAGGTAGGCCATCCTTGTTCATAACACGTACAAACAAAAATGGGAGTCAAACCCAGACTAAGTTACACATATCTGCACCAGCATGCGACGCCACATAATTCGCCGCTCCATTGACTGATCTTGGTACCCAAGACCAGACACACGAACTGAGGTCCTCACCTTCCCTGCTAACCTCCCAAAGGGTCGGGAAGACCTCCCAATTTCCTTGGTCAATACTTCCATTTAGCCGAGAAATAATCTCCTTCGAGTCCGACTCCATCACAATACTCGAGAAGCCCCATCTGCTTAGCCATCACACATCCCTCCAAAACACCCCTTGCTTCAGCCACTAACGCACTAGGGGCCACGACCTCCCTTCGCACTGCCAAGCAACGAGAGGAAGAGTCACGGAGCACGACCCCAATATGGCAACACTCATTCACCCGCTTCCAACTGCTGGCATCCACGTTCACCTTCACCACTCCCTGCACCGGAGGAGACCAAGAGGGAAAAACCCCGGCACTTGGGTACGTCGCACCCCGCATGACCCTTTGCTCCGAGCATGCCTACAGGTAAGAAGAGGCGGCCATGAAAATAGCAAGCACAGTTTTCGACGGAGGTGATTAGGTGGTGCAATAGACTCATGAGCATCGTACTCTCTATTGCAATTTTTTATTTGAGATTTTATTCTCACGTGATCTCGTTGTAACACAAAATTTAATAGTTTTATAGATCTAAGTAATCATGCGGTTCTCGATGAGTTTAGACGAGTGCTTGAAGTCTAATCATTGTTTTGTGAGTTGTGATGCTTTATTGTAATATTTTTAGATCTAGTTTGTAAGGATCCTTTTGGGGGCCGAGTTCTTCATAATATGTATTTGTAATGCATTTTTATCGATGCATGAAATATCGTACTTAAAAAAACAATAAAAATAAAAAATCCAAAACTAAGGACGCAAGGCCAAGAAAATATGCATACGGAGAAACAAGATTTGCAATATTATTTTCTTTTGAAAACAATGTGTCAAGAAGGGAAAATTTTTAGGTGTACCCTCACTCATTAAAATTTTTTTGGTGTACAAAAAGTGAGGGTGCACCAAATTTTTTTGGTGTACCCTCACCATTATGAGTGAGGGTACACCAAAAAAATTTGGTGTGCCGGGTACACCGAAAAATTGCTCGTCAAGAAGGATCCATTGTAGCTTTTGGCTGGATCAACAAAAACTCATCGGTAAACCTTAAAATAATTGACGCTATTGTTAATAAGAGAACATTCCAAATGTTTCTAGATGTTGTTGTTTTATTAGTGTGGTATCGTCAGCAATTAATGAATGGATAATATTAGAGAGACCAAATCTTTAAATCAAATTTGCAAATCAGATTATATGTCACCAATAAGACATAAACATATTAACCGATACTTAATTAATAATCCAATCATTTGTAACCACATCATTTGTTAACATTGGTCTAAAATGTTAACAAGACTTTCCGTTCGAATTCACAGGAACCTTCAATTTGCATGCCACATTAAACTCATTACTCAACAGTCAACCATCTTTCTTTCATCTTCCTTTCATTGGAACATTCTTGCACTTGGTAGGGTTGAATTTGAAACCCCCTGCAGATGTTTCATTATACCCACTCAATGGAACCTTCACTTGCTTGCAATAGATCTTCGGCGAGTCCGTAATTTTCTTCAAAATCCTGACGCGTTTGTATCTGATCCGAAGACGAAACTCTACACGCATGTTGTAAACACCGGCCGCAGTCTCCGAGTTAAACTTAGAAACGTCATGTTTTCGAAAATTAACCCAGTGCTGCCCTTGAAGAACTACAGGCACAAAGGTGGTGTTCTTGTGGTCTTGGTAAAAAGGTGTCGAATTCAAACTCGCAACAAAAAACTTCTTGTTTCTGTATTTGCCAGTGACTTGGATGCCACGGTAGTCTATGCCGGCCCTTTTGTTGGAATTTCTGATGGTAAAGTTGAGTGCAAGGTTGTAGTTGAGAATGTTGTTTCTGCCGGCAGCGAAATCAAATTGGGTGAGAGATGCGTCAGTGATGGTGATTTTGGGCTCATTGGGAAGGACAGACAACCAGATTAAGGAGTAGAAGGAAAAGGCTATTACCCCGAGAAAGGCGAGGAAGGTGAGCATGGTGAGGATGACACCAAGGCAGCTGCAGTAGTCACGCCGTGAACAAGGCATAGTGTAGTACTACGTGGAATTAATGCAAACGTACGTATAAAGTTTAAAACACACAAGGGTTTAAGGGAAAGTTTTGGCTTTGTCTTATGAACAAGTGATGATGCTGGAGTTCTCCGTCCGCCTGAGAAGAGTACTCTTTCATACAATTGTGATTTGTAAGCCAAGGCATTTATATAGCCTTCAAATTAACCCTAATTCAAGTAGGAAAGCATATAGGATTAAGGGAAAGTAATACTATTACGACCAGGAAAGGAAGTTATATACTAAATCCTTATGGAAAAAAAATTAGTATTACGGTCTAATAATATTTCTCTTAGCCTAATTATCGAGAATGACAAATTCACAACCGATTTATTTTCAGATAATCCCATCCCATTAGGCATCAGTATAAATATAGGGGTGTGATATCCACACACCCCATTTTACTTCTCACACACCTTTTTAATTTTCGATCGTCGGATCAAATGAATTGAAGAAGATCAACGGATAGAAATTATCAAGGGGTGTGTGAGTCCACACACCCCTAAATATATTGTTGCATAAAAAAATCCTTGAGATAAAAGAAAGCACAAAGTAAATTACCTAAAAACCTGAAAAAGGGAGAGTACTGATTCAAACATGGAAATTAATTACCGATTCAACTAGGAAACATAAGGAAAGTACTGATTTAACATAAAGAGGAAAAAACCCTTGGAGTTTGTGAGCAAAAATAATTCAAAAGGTTATGGAGATGACACGTGAACTTTAAGGTAAAAAGGATAAAATTACCCTCGAGGCACATCGAAATTCTCATATGCATGCAACGGACAATAACGGCTCAATTAAGGAAAGTCAAAGGTGATCAATATGATGTTTATTCAAATCTCTCTCATCACTCATCATCCATCTCTTATTGATTTTATTCAAAAGGTAACTCCCAAAACTTTATATTTAATTTAGGAATAATCATCATGTTAATTGCAATTATTCTCCAAATACCACCATATATGGCCGGCCATTCTCCACCCTAAGGGCCAGCCACCCTCCTATAAATACCCCTCTTATCCTACTAAAATGTTAAGCCATTAGTTACCCACAAACTCCTAAACACATTCTTTTTAGAATTCTAACTTTGGCATAGGAGATTCTTCAGCCAAAGTCCTCCATTCATAATTGGTGCGTAAGGCTTTTGGCCTTAATCTCAGGTGTTATTATTTTGCAGGTGCATTTTCGTCGAAGGAGAAGACGGCAGAAATTTGCATCTATAGAGTTCCTCTTGATTAGGGAATTGTGATATATAATCCTATTGTATTAGCTATATACGTACATGTAAACATGTATATGTATAAGGATCGACGATTACAACTAAACCAATATGACAGTGCTTACAACGATAATTAAAACTATAAGAAATATAAGAAATATATTTACTTGGAGTGGAAGACAACGAAACCATGATCTTGTCTTCTCTTCTCTTGGATTCAGAAATAGTATCTCAATACGCTCAATAGGACTGGTATTCGATATGAGAACAAGTAGTACCCGAGAAGAGAGACCAAAATTGACTTTATATGATGCAACTGCATCTCCCTATCAGAGATGCAGTTACTGTCAGTTTGTAAAGGTTACAACTGCTCTTTATTTGAATTGATAACCACCTTTAGTTTTCCCTCTAATATAGAATTAATCCGGTGTAATTCACATAATTGAGTCCTTAAATAATACAACCCTTTCACTTGTATATTTGCACTGTGGTTTAAATGACACTCACATATAAGTCATTCTTACGTTCTCCCACATGAGTGAGATTAAACCATCATTCTTAATTCCAAAATATAAAAGTGAAATGTGATCACAGATTGTATAAATTAACTGACTCTTACAACAATATACTGCGAGTTCATCTGTCGAGTTTTAAGGCTACACAACATTGAATACAATGTTTATACCTTAAAACCACAAACTGATCAGGCTCCAGCACATTCTTGTTGTAGCCGAGAGAATAAAAGATTTTGGGACTTAATTGCTTGTAAATCAAGCACTCCCACATTTCTTATGGTCACAAGATACTGCAGATATCTTGATTGCTTTAAACATTTGCAATTTGCATTAATCAACATTAACACAACATATGAATTCATATTAAACATTACTCACAGCTTTTGCAACTTAAATACATACTTGTGTAGATTACTCCCACATTTAAAGAACATCAAAGCTGACTGAAACCCCATTATTAATACATGCTTGTTGTAGACTGTAACATTTAAGGCTTTTGTCAATGGATTTGCAACCATGTCATGTGTACTGATATGTTGTATATCAATCACACCCTCTCTGACTTTATCTTGAACTTTCAAGTATTTAATATCCATAAGCCTTGACGCCTCTGATCTCTTGTTTTTTTTAGCAAAGAATACTGCAGTTGTATTATCACAGTAAAGCTTGATTGGCTTTTCAATTCTTCTCACAATCTCCATCTCATAAATTAAGTTTTTCACCCAGTTACACTGTTCAATTGCCTCAAAACAGCCAATATATTCAGACTCCATAGTAGATACTGCTCTTGTAGTTTGTTTCTTGCTCCTCCATGAGACAACACCATCACACAGTAAAAAAATATATCCATTTGTAGACATGCTATCATCAATGCATCCACCTAAGTCAACATCAATGCAGCATACCAATTCCAAATTGTCTACATGGTGATAACACAACACAACACAACACATGACTCAGTTCTTTTCAAGTATCTCAACACAACACATATGACTCAGTTCTTTTCATGTATCTCAACACCTTTTTACCTGCATTCCAGTGAGCCAATCCTAGATTCAATTGAAACCTTCCTAAGACACTTAACACAAAAGCCAAATCAGGCATTGTACAGACTTGAGCATACATCACACTGCTAATTAAAGAAGCATAAGGCTTGTCCTTCATTGCCTGCACTTAATAGTCAGTAATGGGGCATTGAGACAAGGACAATTTGTCACCCTTACCAAGTGGTATATCTCCTCCACTGCAGTTCTCCATATTGAACCTTTGGAGAACCTTATCAACATAAGCTTTATGTGACAAGCCTAACCATCTCTTTGGATCTGTCCCTAGTAATCTCAATGCCTAAAACACAATGTGCTGCACCCAAATCCTTCATGTCAAAGCTACTTGACAACATGTTTTTGATTTCTTCAAGTAAAAGAACATTTGAACTGGCAAGTAAGATGTCATCCACATAAAGAACCATAAAAATAAAATTAGACTTCACCATTTTGAAGTAGATGCAATTGTCAATTTTGTTCTCCACAAAGCCAAAAGCTGCTACAACTTGATCAAACATTTTGTACCATTATCTAGAGGCCTGTTTGAGTCCATATATTAACTTGTTAAGTTACAAACCATATCTTCCTTCCCCCTTTCAATGAATCCAATTGGTTGTTACATGTATATTTCTTCATCAAGACTACCATTGAGAAAAGCTGTTTTGACATCCATCTGGTGTAGTTCAAGATTACAATGTGCAGTGAGTGCCATGATCACTCAAAAAGAATCTTTTGTGGAAACTAGAGAGAAAGTTTCATTGTAGTCTAGACCCTCCTTTTGAGTAAAACCCTTTGCCACATGAACGAACAGATGAGTAAAGAATGCGAGGGATTGTATCCGACGTTAGTGATTATCGACAATTTTTTATATCCATTGCATGAGTGATGATACAAACGGTTTCACTTAAGTTAACAAATCCGTTTACACCGAAAATGTGTTCATTTAACAAATAAGGGTAAGGTACATAGGTGTTCATTGGCAATTTCAATTCTTAGGGTTTGATAGGCAACCATAGAAGGATCACATGAGAGAGGCATTAAGAAATAGAATAACGGCAAGTTTGATGAATGCATCTAATTAGACTACCTTCAAGTACATTAACAATATTGTACTAATGAATCCTAACTATTCAATCTAAAATATTTCAATTGAAGCAGTTTGTCATACTAATTAATATTTAAGATAAAGTATATAAATAATTTTCTTTTAAAAATAAAGCATATTTAGTAATTCACCTTTGTTTGTTAAGAAAATTAAATTAATAGCACATCTAGTATTATACCTTTTTTGGTCATTTCCCATAATCACATCTGTTTTACATAAAAGTTTACCAAACACTACCATACTGCTTTTTTTTTTTTTTCCAAAAGCACTTTTACAAAAAAATTTACCAAATACTCTGTTGCTTTATTTCACTGCCACTTATTCTCACAGCACAGCAGAAACAGTTTTTTTTTTAAAGCACAACAATACCAAACCAGCCCTTAATACTCCACATGTTTTCTGGCTTAAGATTGCAAAGAACACACTCTCCGGTTCTGCCACGGAACAATTAATATGAATAAACGTTGACAAAAATCGACAGTAACTTAATACCCCCAAAAAAGTAATGAGCAAGTATGAAATTGTGAGTCACAGTCAGAGTAAGAGTAAGACCAAGAGAAATAGTATAGTGTGAGATTGTGAGCAAGAGTGAAAATAAGAGAAAGTAACACACATAAATTCTACAAAGAAAACAAAAAACCAACGAAATCACACACTGAGTGAGAAACAGATTATATTGTGAGATTGGGAGTGTGAAATAAGGAAAAAAAAATTTAAATAAATTTGTTGCACTCTCACCGTTTAAAATTTGGCAGGAAGGGACAATTTAATAAAAGACCGAAAAATTGCACCACCAATGATTGTACAACAGGATTCTTTGGCTGTTTTCCTATGCACCAATCCTTAACTGCAAGCCATGAAAACCAACGTTATCAAACAAAGTGTAAAATTGTTTTGTAAAACAGAAGGTAAATGCAAATTGATAGAAACAAAGGGCAAACCTACAATGCAGAAATTTTATTCATGAAAATTATCTCATTTTTTAACCACTATATACCAGAACACAAAATCTATAACCAGCACATATTTCAACTTTATAATACAATTAAAAATAACAAAAGACTGAACTAAACTGCCAACAGAGATCATTTATAAAAAATTTAAACCAAAGATGTCCAAAATTGTTTTAATTTCATAAATACAATTACAAAAACGCAAAGATGTTTATAGATAGGTTGAATTACAAAAATAAGTTAATTGATAATAGTTCTCAAACAATATACATTTCAGAGAAAGAAGAGCCAATTCTATATTATAGGTTTCCTCTGTCTGTGTCCATTTACATTAGCCTTTTATTTTACAACAGAAGTTTAGATTTGAATTTATGTGGTGGCAGTTGAGTGCAACATTTCATTATTTTGAATCATATTATATAGTTGTCCTGTATTCAGGTTATCCTTAATCCAACACAACACCATGTTATACTTGCAATCTCTGTCAAATAACAAACTTTAGAGCAAAAAGCGTCTTCTCCAATTGGGATTAGAAACATCCACCAAATGATTTCCGATCAGTCTCCTAAAAATGATTTCAGATCAGTCTCCAAGCTTGTAAAACATGTTTTTATGCAAACAGAACAACGAACAGTGCGAGAAAAACTTAAAACCAACCAGGTGGTTTTCTTAAAGGAAGAAATTGGAGCTAACACAAACAGAATGTATCAAATTAACAATATGCAATCAATGAACTATTTCACAACAAAAACAGCAAAAGGCTTAGACCCAAATGAGATTAGAAGTTAGGAATTCATAAAACAAATTGAAAATCTAATTCCAAAATTCCAAACACCCACCAAATGGTTTCGGATAAAGTTCTAAAGTCAAATACATGTTACCGATACATAAGGGTACATAAGAATGAGAAGTACGAAAATTTTAAAACAAAGGGCCAATCATGCTCTTTGGCAAATTACAATTTAAGTTTGGCTGCTTTTCAGTTTCATTTTACCCTTAGATTTGTTCTTCTTTATGAGTAGACCTTCCAACCCAACATCTATTCACAGATATAATTGTCCCTAGCTACACCAACACAAATCCAAAATCATATATATTGTCCAATGTAAACTAATTCCTAGCTAATTAACATGTTCAAATCCTTATTTTCTCATAATAAAATAACAGAAACTTAAACCACCCAAAAATCAAAACAACCCCACTTGTTGTTTTAGCTCACTAATCCATTGGATAAATTGATGCCAAATTCAATCAGAAAACATACAATTAACAACCCAGAAGAGCCATCCAAAAACCCAACAAATTAACCAAAAAATACCACTTGTACTTTTAGCTTAGTCTTCCAATTGAATCAGATATACCATCACATTTCAATCAGGAAATAGAAAATTAAGAACCCAGAATTTTCACTCACCTGCTGTGAAACTCGTCCCTGTTGAGCAGCAGTAGGAACGGGTAAACTGGGTGATATATACAACCGATTAAAACTGTAGAAAATGATTTTCCCTTATTTTGTTCATTCCAGAATTACAAGATATATAGAACATATTTGATACAATAATTAATTACAATTGAAATCACCAAGTCAACCCTATACAATCATTCTAAATTTAACGCAATCAAGAGGATTGAGGAGAGATATGTGGAGATGATGGAATCTCGCTAACACCCCCCCCCCCCCCGCGCAAACTGGACGGCCTCGGTTGTACAAGTTTGGAGCAAAGAAGGGTGTGACGCGGCTTGTGCAGCGCTTTAGTAAGAACATCAGCTGGCTGATCAATGGATGGCACAAAGAATACGCGATGACTACCAACAGTAACCTTTTCACGGACGAAGTGGTAGTCAAGTTCAATGTGACGAGTGCGAGCATGGAAGACGGGGTTGGCAGCCATGTAGGTGGCGCTGAGATTGTTGCAGTAAAGATGAACAGGAAACTGTATAGAGACACCGAGTTCATAGAGGAGAAACCATGTTGTTTCTGCCCAAAAGTGAGAGCGGGACCTGTATTCGAACTCGGCACTGGATCGAGCAATAGTGGGCTGTTTCTTTGAGCACCATGAGACAAGATTGGAACCCAAGTAAATTAAGCAACCACTGGTAGAGCGGCGTGTATCAGGGCACCCCGCCCAATCGGCATCGGAATAAGCACAAAGGCGTGCGGTTCGTAATTGAGGTGTGAAGATAAGACCATGATCGAGAGTCCCTTTGACGTACCGAAGAATACGCTTGGCGGCAACAAGATGAGGAGCACGAGGGGCACTCATAAACTGAGAAACTGTATTCACCGCATAAGTAATGTCGGGACGTGTCAAGGTGAGATATTGAAGGCAGCCAACAAGTTCGCGAAACTCCGTGGGAGAAGAGAGGAGAATCAATATTGGACAAAACCACCTTTGCAGCGACCGGTGTAGTGACGGGCTTGCAATGTTCAAGATTGTGCTTGTGTAACAAATCATGAGCATATTTTAATTGATTGATGTGTAGGGAATCACCATGAGTAAGAACCTGCAATCCCAAAAAATAGTGAAGTGGACCAAGATCTTTGATGTCGAAACCACTGCCCAATGCATCAATAAAACGTTGTAGCAAAACAGTATCACTACCAGTGAGAACAATGTCATCAACATATAGGAGCAAAAATATGGTGTGAGAACCAAACCGATAAATGAAGAGGGATGGATCAGCAACACTTTGTGTGAAACCGGCAGTGATGAGGAAGGAGCTAATGCGATGGAACCATGCTCGGGGCGCTTGTTTGAGACCGTAGAGAGATTTGTATAACTTGCATACATAATGGGGACGATCGGGGTCAACGAAGCCGGGAGGTTGAGTCATGTAAACATCTTCTTGGAGGAACCCGTGAAGAAATGCATTTGTGACATCAAGTTGGCATAGTGACCAACCACGAGAAATGGCAACACTTAGAACCGTGCGAATGGTGGTAGGTTTTACAACGGGGCTAAAGGTCTCCCCATAATCAACTCCAGGCTGTTGATAAAAACCCTTGGCGACTAAATGAGCTTTATAACGCTCAATAGAACCATCAGGCTTTCGCTTTATCTAGAACACCCACTTAGAACCAACCGTGTTATGATGAGGTGAAGGAGGAACGAGAGACCATGTATTATTTTTAAGTAGAGCATTGATCTCATCGGACATTGCAGAACGCCATGCATGACTTTTAGAGGCTTGAGAGAAGCAGGTGGGCTCAAGGTCTGATAGTGTTGTAATAAGAGCTTTGGGCAGAGGATAGCGTATGGTGCCATCGGTGGATTGCTTGGGCTTGGTGATGCCACGTCGGAGACGGGTGACCATGGGATGCATGGATGGAGCAGTGGTGCCAGGTGAGTCATGGGCCATGGGACTAGCATGGGGAAGGCACCATGGGATCTGCATGGGTTGCATGCGGGGAGACAATGGGCGGTGCAGTCGGTGCATCATCACATGGTGCTTGCGGTGGAAGTGATGTTGTCGGTGGCTGTGGAGCTGCAATAGAGGCAGCAGCTGAGGCCCGCAAGTTGGGGGGTGAGCTCGGCAGATTACTGAGGGAAGGAGTAACCTGCGGAGGAGAGGAAGACAGTGGTAGATGAGGGCTCGGCAGCGGGGGCTGCGGAGGTGCGATGGGTTGAATGTCCAACAAAACAGTTGGAGTCATGAGTAACCTGCAAATTAGTAAAAGGAAAATAATCTTCTTGAAAAATGACATGACGGGAGATATAGACACGACCGGTGGAAGGGTGGAGACACCTATAACCTTTATGACTCGGACTATAACCAATGAAGACACATTCTAAAGAACGAGGAGAAAGTTTGTGGGATGTATAAGGACTGAGGTTGGGAAAACATGAACAACCGAAGACACGGAGATGAGAGTATGAGGGAGAGCGATGGAAGAGTTTGGCATATGGGGATTCCCAATTTAGGAGAGGTGTGGGAAGAAGGTTAATGAGATGAACCGCTGTGAGAGCCGCTTCAGTCCAATAAGAAAATGGTAAATGAGCAGTATGAAGAAGAGTGCGAATCATGTCTGCAATATGGCGATGTTTGCGTTCGGCGACACCATTTTGTTGAGGGGTGTGAGGACATGAGAACAGTTGTTGGATACCCAAGGTGGTACAAAAATTGGCAAAGGTAGTGTTCACATATTCGGTACCATTGTCACTCTGTAAGATTTTAATGCTAGAGTTGAAGAGATTCTGTGCCATGGCAACAAAGGTTTGAAAGTGTGTAAACACTTCCGATTTACTGCGCATGGGATAAATCCAAGAGTAACGTGAAAAATCATCCGTAAATAGAACATAATACCGAAAACCACTAATAGAGGGCACAGGAGACATCCAAACATCAGAGTGAATGAGGTGAAAAGAAAGAGAGACTGAAATATTACGGTTCGAAAACGGTAGTTGAGTGGATTTGCTTATAGCACAATCTGTACAAAATGTCTTATTAAATTTTATTTCTTTTCCTAACAATGGTCCTAGGTGGGAAAGAACAGAAGACGACGAGTGACCGAGACGACGATGTCAAGTAGAGGAGTGAAGAGTGGAAAGAGCGTGAGGAGCAAGGGGTTGACGGATGGAGGAAAGTTGAAGAGGATACAAGCCATCTTCACAAGGGCCCTGAAATAAGAGTGCACCAATGAGCAAATCATAAATTTGATAGAAATCTGGGGCAAAAAGAAAGAAGACACGATTATCTTTGGTGAACCGAGCAACGGAAAGTAAATTTTTGCGAATGGCGGGAATGCGAAAAACATCATGAAGAGTGAATGGAGAAGAGCCCAAAGAAAATGGAAGAGTACCGGTGTGGGTAAGATGCATGGAATCTCCATTACCCATAAAGACCTGTTGATTACCATTGTAGGGATACGAGTTTTGAAGAGAGGTGCCGGGACCCGTCATGTGATGAGTGGCGCCGGTATCAGGATACCAAACGGGATCGGCCGCAGCAGCGGATTGAGCCATATGTGCACCAGCAAATGGAGGGAATTGAGCAGGGCCATTGTACCTGTGCGGGCAGTGAGCCTGGTTATGTTGATTGGTGTTGCAATTGGGACACCAGGTGGGAGGAGGGCCCAACACGCCATTACTTGAAGCAGATCAAGGAGGAGGGCGGGGAAGCCATGGTTGCTGACCTTGCGTCGGGGGAAGAGAGAAGCCATGATTGTTGTTGTACCGGCGGTGAGAGATCCGGTTGTTGCGGTAAGTACCACCACGTCCAATATGGTTGCGATGGAAACCCTTGGGATTATGAGGCTTATGTCCAGGGAAATGTTGAGGTGGGGCTGGGTTTTGAGGAGCCGATGGTGGGAGGTGGTTATTAAAGAGAGCATGGGAGGATGGAGATGATGCGGTGAAGTTGGGGTCTTGAGCTTCAAATGCGAGAATGCGAGAGCGAAGTTCAGTGAAGGTTGGAAGGGAAGAACCTTGAAGAATGGCGGTTCGAAGCATGAGATATTCTGGACCAAGGCCTCGGAGAGTGAGAGTGACTAAATACTCAGGATCCATAAGTTTGTTGATGGCAGCCAAGGAGTCAGCAATGTGTTTGACTTGGAGCAATTATTCATTAAGAGATTTGGTCTCTTTTGTGAGGTCGAGGAGTTGAAACTGGAGGGATGCGGAGCTAGCAATAGAGGTTTGGGAAAAATGGTGATGAAGACATTCCCAGATGGCCTGGGCTGTCTCACAACCAATGGTAAGAGAAATAATGGGCTTGGTCAGCGTAGTAGTGAGGTAACTGACCACAAGTTGGTCTTGTTGAATCCATATGAGCAAAGCCGGATTGGGAACAGGAGCAGTAGGAGCATCGGTGGGAGTGGAGGGCACGGCAAGAATAGTAGCGGAAGGTTGTGGGTGAGAGCCATCAACGAACTTGTAAAGACCTTGGCCAATAAGGAATGGTTTCATCTGGCGAAGCCATTCAGGATAATTGTCTTCATCTAATTTCAGGAAGCTTGCAATACTAGGGCCAGAGGTAGCCATGGGAGAAGAGGCAGGGATCAGCTTGGGTTTTTCGAGAAGGAGCCTAGACCTAGGTGATACCATGTAGAAAATGATTTTCCCTTATTTTGTTCATTCCAGAATTACAAGATATATAGAACATATTTGATACAATAATTAATTACAATTGAAATCACCAAGTCAACCCTATACAATCATTCTAAATTTAACGCAATCAAGAGGATTGAGGAGAGATATGTGGAGATGATGGAATCTCGCTAACAAAAACACTCAACTTTAGCTGTTTCAGCTACATAACAGAAAAAGAAATAAAAAAGTTAATTTAACTACAATTAAGTAATCTGGTTTAAGATATATACCTCATCCCCAACATTCATACCAAAATCGATATTGCACGGTATCTTATTCTCAATCAAATACGGTCCACCTACACGTTTCAAAACTCCTACAGTGTCAGTAATGATTTACCCTTTGTTTTGGCAAAAGGCTTTTTGCATACACTAACATTTTAGTCAACCAATTTACATGATAGGAACCGTAAATTGGCAGCACAACAAAAGAGGATCAACAAAAATCTCGACAATTACCTGAAACTACCATTCCACTTCTTTTCAATTGTGAAGCACTATACATGTTTCACTACCAAATGCTCATATACATGATCAAACCTAAAAATAAAAAATAAAAAAAATCGTTGGAGAATCATAAGAGGAATGACTTACATGCTTTCTATCTTGGCAGCTTAGGTTCAGTAAGCGAACATCTGCACAATGGGACCATCTATGCCTTTGGTTGAATGTGAGTTGAAAAGACTATTTGCAATAGCTTAAATCAACTCGGTCCTGTTCGTTATACATTCCTTCACTAATTGCTCCCTAAATACCATGAACAAAACAAATCAGAATTTCACCCACTGAACAAAAACCCATCAGCATAGTGTGATAAATTCACTATTTCACTTATGACTGCCACTTTACTGATGGGATTAATCCAAATAAAATCCCAATTTCCAAAAGTAAATTTTCAATTAATTTCTCAAAAGCAATAATTTCAAAAAGGCCCAGAAGTATACAAAAATATTACCAAAAAATAGAGATATATTGAATAAGTAAAGAAAAATAACTTAGAGAAGGGGATGGAGGGGAAGCTGTGATGAGGGTCGAAGGCCATGAGATTACCCAGATCGACTTGAATATTCTGCTGCTGGGTCTCCATTGCCGCTTTCCTGCAGTTGCTTTTCATCCTCTCCATTCGACAGTCCAGGTCTGCAACCCAAAAACATATAGAAACGATTAGCTTTGTGGTCGGATTATCAAATCATGCGGTGACAGGACTGACATGCACGCAAATAAAAAATTCATTAACTTGTTTTTTCTGAATCCATAATTCAGATTCGAGTTCGAATTCAATGGAAAAAAAAATACATAAATCCATCAAAATTTTGCCCAGATGAAAAAAGAAATAAAGGATGAATTAGAAGCTTTTAGCAAAGAGTTTACCTCAACAGGCCTCTCTCTCCCTCTCCCCTGTAAATTCACCAAACCTAGAAAAAAGCCATCTGTAAATTCAAAACAACCCGCAAAATCACAAATACAAAATTCAAACAAAAAATCCATGTGAACATCGAGAACCACAAAAACAAAATTTGAAACAGCAACACGGAGAGTCACGAAAATTACCAGACGACGCTAGATTTCGTGGGTAAAAAACCGATCCTGATCGAATCCAAAAACTGATGAAATCTGTAGCCACTGAGGTTTTAAAATCACAAAAATTTGAACAAAGAAAAGAGAACTCAAATACCAAACCCTAAACAAAAATGCTGGAGAACTCCCCAAGAAACCCAAGGATTCTGCAGGATTGATGATTTCCTGAAAACCAAGCTTTTTTAGGTTTAAACTTTCTTCCCGAAGGCAACAGATGTAACATTCTTGGCAAGAAAATTCAATCACGAATTGAAAACAAAAAAAGTGAGAGAGAGAGAGAAACGAACCTTCATACGGAGGCTAGCGATCCGGAGCTCGAGAGAGATTGAGAAATCCGTGGAAGCAAATGGAAGAGCCCTGCTTTTCCATCTTTCTTCCATTCTAGGATGAGAGAAACGGAAAGAGAAGGAAAGAAGAGGAAAGTGAAAAGTTGAAGATGCTGGAAGCACACAACACAAAGAAATCGAGAGATTTCTATTGCACAGCAGGGACAAAAATGCCATTTTACTGTATAATATACACAAAAAGCTAAACTTACAGAACAACTGAAGGGTAAAAAAGGAATAACACTGGCGAAGGAACAGTAAAAAGGACACAAAGGGAATTAACTGGAAAGTTAGGTGTTTAGTATATACTAGAAATATTGCCCGCACGTTGTTGCAAGATTAGAAACCGTATGAAATAAATATGTTTCAAAGCTATAAGAGATTGTTAAAGAAGGTTAATGTTATTTAGACTGAAAGATATTTGTACTTTTTGAAAGAATTTTTAGATAAAGAGCAGAAATTGGGTGAATGAAGCTCTTGGAATTCTTTAAACCACTCTATGAATAGCATGACATGTGAGTGATTGATAGTGTAACAAAAATTAGTAAAAGAGTGTAAGAGTATCAGATATGAAACTATATTATTGGAACCACTTAATGGAAAGTTGTAGTGCTATGGTATACTCAGTTATAGTTTCAAACCCAATAAAAGAATGCAAGACAGAATATATCCACAAAAAAGTAAAAACTATTAAGTTTGAAAGATACAAACAATTGAGCTTGTAGAAAATGTGGAGAGGGATTGAGAAAAGGGAGCACTAAATTAACTGTTTTTCCTTTCCTTCCCTTCCCTCGCTACATAAACAGTAGAGTAGCTCTAGTTTTTCGGTTTTTTTCATGTCATTCTTCGTGCCAAGCCAAAATCAACAACTAAATTATAACATGCATGTTAATAATACCATGAAAAATTCCACTTCATTATACATGCATATTATTTTCTTAGTTCATATATGAATTGGATATTCTCTCTTCCAAAACCACCAACCAAAATCACTTCTCAAAGAGATTATAAATATAAGATAGTGGTAGCTTACCCAAAGCCAATTTTGAGTAGTAGTGTTGTGCTACTCTCTCCATTTTCTTATTTTTGACCCAACAATCTCTGCTTTTAAATGCATAATGGTTTTTTTTTTTTTTATGAAAAAAAATTCAGTAAGCCCATATCAATTCTAGAAAATTTTAAGTTTAAAACCGAAATTAGGCATAATCAAAGATGGACCATTTCATCATCATATACGAAAGGTATCAAAACATGAAAAGGGTAGGCAACAAAAGCAAATTAAACGGAGAAACTCAACAAAATAAACAATTTAGAGAGGTTAAGCATCTAAGGTACAATCTTAAGGATCATAGAAAATAAGAACTTACAGAGATTATCAGGCAGTTTCTGGTTTTTGAATTTGGGATTAAATGATTCAAATAAGCACTTGAAAGAGTGATTGATAACAAAAATCTGAAGTCAACACAACATGTAGTAATCTACAGAGCTCAAATACACATTCACTAAACATAGTCCACCATCAATCCACACACACATTTGGTTAAAGGAAAAAAGTGAGTTTAACCTGTTGTGCCACCACAACATCTTGAGGAACATCTGTGAGGAGCAGAATGCAGAGTTTGTCCAAAAAGAAGTGCTATTTTCAATGTTAGGGTGCCTTCAACATATGAGATACATACACCAAAAAAACATTCTTAGTGATCCCTATGCATATTGTTTCTCTGAGTATTCCAATTCAGCAGTCCTAGAATCTTACACAGTGGCAGTTGGCTGTTTCTCTTACTCTATGAACTGTTTTTTCTTCAAAGCACATTCTGCTGATAAATAGATTATTCACAAAAATTATGAAATACAATTGTACGTTAAGTGCTAATAATTTTCATAAATTGGCTAGTTACATTTCCTCACAACTTGAGTGATGTCTAACATAAATGATGGATGAGGTTATAGTTTATAAATTTCACATTTACATTTACCCACAATTTAAGTGGTATTTTTAAACTCCAAACGATGCATAGGTTATCAAGCAGTTACATCATTATTTTAAAAATTCACATCCAATAAGAGTATAAATACACCTAATTGGTATATCTTGAGGGAGAGATACCTGGCAATGGGTCGACTTGCAATGAATTAAAGAACTTGACTTTTTCGTATGATTACATCACTACCTTCAAGAAATACATTAATCAGTAAAATTAGAAGTGACAACACAAAAGAAAATCCCAAGTAAAGTTCTCATTAGCAGTGAAATTATTAGTATTGCACTAAAAGATTTAGAGATAAGGAGATAATGATTTAAACAATATTATCTCAATCATCATTCTGATAAAGAGAATATGTTACTTGTCCAAAACTACCAATCAGGACCACAGATCAAAACTAACTGTCAAAACCTTTCATAATAGTAAATTATTGTTCTTTCTTAAGATTCCAAATACTTGGATACACAATCCTTTTATAGTTTATATGGATACTTGACCCTCATCAGTCTTAAATAATCCCCTCATGGCCATGGGACTTTTTTATGAGAGCATTAGATAGAAGGGCATGCTTTGAGTATTCAAAATTTTTCAATTTCTCAGTCTTCTCTAAACCTCATGATATGCTGATAATAGTTAAAGATGAATGAACAAAATAAAAAAAAAAAAAATAAATAAATAAATAAAAAAGGGGTTAAAACCAAAGGAGAACTGAAATAGAGAAATGAAGAAAGAAAACCATAAATGGAACCCAAACGCAAAGAGAGTGAGAGAGTTAAACCCAAAAGCTTAACCCAATCTCATTTGCATACCATTTGACCAAATTAAGAAAAATACGAAATTTGCACCCCCATTTGAACATATTAAGGATAGAGGGCACTCACATCGTTGTAGTAGTACTCTACTCTTCTTTGTTATGCTTTTCGTCAAAACAGCCATAAAAAACCCAGAAAGCATAAAAATTTAGAAGCAGAAAAGAAAAGGTTCGAAATTGCCATTGGAAATGCAGAATGTACAGATGGAAACCAAATTGAATTATTATGCCCTCTCTCCTCCATATACTGGTAGTTACAGTCAATCTATTTAACTTATTCCCAACTTCATCAAAACAACCAAGAAGTATAAAACAGCAAGGTTAATTCTCACTTTCTTTAATCAAAATGAATTCTACTTCTTCCCATCTATTTGCACATCCCTTCAACACTCTCAATTGATATTAAGACAGAAAATAAATTGTTGCAAGAAAGAAGAGAGAGGAAACATCGAGAAGGGAAGCCGAACAGTGAACAACCTGTGTAATTTTGTGAAGATTGGCAAAGAGATCCTATAGAAATGAGAGAAAATGACACTGAAATAGGAATCCCAACCCAAATATCATCAGAAACAAAACCTCCCCCTTTCCAAATGTGAAAGGAAGATTACAAAAGAACATGGAAAGGACCTGAGCTTGTCTTTCCATGGGCATCCCCACGACCCTCTAATAAACTCGAATAAGTCACGTCATGCAACATGTATTTACTCCATAGTCCATACAACAAAATTCCACATAGAATTAGTTCCCAAGAGTAGCGAAGAAATTATCAATGTTCTTTAGTCATACATTTTCATATATACTAAGCAATATTACCCTCACCAGTCATTTCCAAGTCAATCCATACCAGTGACATTTTGTACTCTTCTGGAGGTATCTCTGTAATTTGCTTACTCTGCTTCTCATTTACTAGCGATATGTTATCAGAGTCGTTGACTTTTTTCTTGTTATTGCCTACCTCAAAAGATGCATAATCAGAACGAAGATACTCATATTTTCCAATCCGCATTGAGGGATTATCAAAAATATTCACCTAAGTAAATCATTTGTTATGGTTATTACTTATTATATATGCCCAATGCCTAGTCTATCATGAATGTGGGATGTGGCTTACATTTCGAGAAAAAATATGCTAAGAAATAAGTTTTTTTTTTTGTTTATAAATAAAAATTTATACTTCACTTCATCAAAATTGCAAGATCCATTCAAAAAGTACAAACTTGTTTTTAGAGAAATATTAAGAAAAATAACATAAAATGGTAGTTCATAGATTCAGTTGAGTTGTAAATGTTAGCATATAGTAGGGGTGGGTTCGGTTCCGTTCGGTTCGGTTCGGTTTTTTGCCAAAACCGGAAACTGAACCGAAATTACTGTTCGGTTCGGTTCAGTCCGGTTTTCTCTCGGTTTGTGTTCGGTTCGGTTTTTCTCGGTTCGGTTTCAGCCCAATTACGTTTTTTTTTTTTTTTTTCCTCTTCCAAGTAGCTAAAAACAATTGTATGAAACCAACTTGCAGCCATTTTGTAATAAGTCCCATTTCAACATAATCGTCAAAATAAGCATTCCAAAATTTCTAATGTAATCATTCAAAGACAGTGAAATAATCATTCAAATTTCTAATATAATCATTCAAACATAATCGTCAAAGACAATGAAAATAAACATTCAATTCAAAGTTCAATTATAATCAAGTGTTCCAAAGTCCAAAGTTAAATAAACATCAAAGTTCAAAGTTCAAAGCTTCCAAAAGTCCAAACTTAAAATAAACATCAAAGTTCAAAGCTTCCAAAACTCTTCTTATGCCTTAATGGTATGAGAGTGATCCACCAACTTTTTCAATGATAATTTGCTTGCTAATGCTTAGGTGGCTTAGGGGGCGACATATCACTTTTTTTTGAACTTCCACTTGCCATTTCTACATACAAATAATAAAAGAAAAGATATTAATTAAAATATTATTTAAAATAATCTAACAAAATCAAATGCAATAAATAAAATTACCTTTCTCAACTTCTGCACAAAACTCTATCTCCTCAATGGTTGGCTCATGATGTATTGCAACATGAATAGACCTAAGCCAATTTTGAGTACATATCAAAGCCTCCACCATTTTTGGACTTAAAGAACTATGATATGGATCAATTATCCGTCCACTTGTACTAAAGGAGGATTCCGAAGCAATGGTTGATACGGGAATAGCTAAGATCTCTCTTGCAACACGTGCCAAAATAGGGTACTTAGAAACCCCATTCACTCTCCACCAATTCAATACATCAAAGTTCTCCTCTTCTTCTCCTTCATTAGGATCGGAAAGATACTTGTCAACATCATTATGCACAACCCGGGCTCTCTTTGCTTTTCTCATTTCACTTTTTTCTTTCAACTTTCTTTCTATTTCGGTCATGCTTGATGAAGAGTCTCCACTTGTCGTTTGAGAACTACCACCACCACTTATACTTTGTTGTGTACTCAAAGACATATTTTCATGAATCTTGTAAAGATCAATCAATAAGTCCTTCACCCCATTTGTGGCACTTTCAACCTTTTCTTCATCCTCACCAAATTGTATCTCAAAATAATCAACAACTTTATCTAATTTGTGGCGAGGATCAAGCACAAGTGCTATAAAAAGATATTGATTCATGTCCTTAAGTGAACCCCAATACTTGTCATATTTTTCTTGCATCAACTTGGAGATCATAGACAAAAGTTCATCATCTTTGTTTTCATGCAAGAGACTTTTGATCTTAAACAAATCACCAAAAGTGGTATGAACGGTTGGAGTATTAGAACAACATATTTTTAAAGTGACTTCATAAAAAGGTCTCAAAAAGATTGCAAATATCCCCGCCTCACTCCAATCATCCATCGAAGGTGGCCCCTCCCTCATATTATCATGATTGTCTTTAACAAAGTACGGAAGGTAATGACCATCATCTACTTTTAATTTATCAAAAGCCATCTTGAACTTTAAAACCGATTCCAACATTAAAAATGTGGAATTCCACCTAGTAGGGACATCCAAAATCACAAGCCCTTTGCTCTCTATTCTCACTTTCTCAACACACCTTTTAAAGCTTTCCAACCTTTGAGGGGAAGATCTTACGTACCTAACCGCATTACGAATGCTTTGTATAGCCGTATTCAACAATTTTATCCCATCATTCACAACCAAATTGAGGATATGAGCAACACACCTCATATGCAAATATTTTCCATCATGCAAGAGTGCATTAGGAATCCCCCACCCACTTATTCGGTGCACCAAGTCTCTTAAAATTTGCGGAAGCATTGTCAACCGTAATGGTTAACACCTTCTTTATACCCCACTCCACTAAACACTCCTCCAAAAGTTGAGCGATGGATTCTCCTTTATAATTTGGAATAATACAAAAATTCAAAATCTTTTTATGTAACATCCAATCATCATCAATAAAATGGGCGGTGAGAACCATATAATTGGTTCGTTGAATAGAAGTCCATGTGTCCGTTGTTAGATACACCCTAAATGTCTTCAATTGACTCTTCAATTTATCCTTTTCGGAATAAAACAAGCTAAGTACATCCTTAGCAATTGTCTTACGACTAGGCACTCTCCATATAGGACATGCTTGCATGCAAAAATGGCGAAAACCTTCTCCTTCAACAAAAGTAAAAGACAACTCATCTATAATTATCATCTCAACACAAGCCTTAGTTACTTCTTGTTGAGAAAAACCTATAGCTTCCAACTTATCTTTCGTGCCGGCAAAGGTTAAGATCTTTTGCCTATTTGCGGCAAATATTTCCTTATTAGGACCGTAGCTTCTACATCTTGCTATATGGTTTCTTAAATTAGTTGTACCATTTTTATCTGGGTCGGCCATATATGATTGAGCGCAATACTTGCACAACCCCTTAACTCTACCACCCTCAATTTTTCTTTCAAAGTGCTCCCAAACTTTAGACCTTTCATGACTTTTTAATGATTCCAAAAGAGCTTCTTCTTTACTTACTTGGTCACTTTGGTCACCTTCTTTTGGAGTTGCATCGGCGGGATTTCCGGATCCACCAAGAGAACTAGGAGTTTGTCGAGGTGCCACCATTGTGTTTTGAGGCGGAGTTGATTCACCAATGTCCATCTAAAATAAGAGAATCATACAATTAATTTTTCAAAGAAGAGATTCATTACAATTAATGAATTAATTATTAAACACAAGGGCAAAAGTAATAGAAAGATATGACTACTTACTTCCGATGGTATACTCGAAGATGAGTTTGTTTGATCATGAGGGCTATTTGATTTTGATCTCATTGAGTTTGAACTTGAGCTTGAGGCCCTTGAGACCTTTGACGCCTTTGCGTTCATCTAATTCACACAAAACAATAAGAGGATAGTAGTTAGTACTACAAACTTATACAAAAGTAAATGTTAATCAAAACTGGCAAGCACATTAGTAGAAAACTAGCAAGCACATTATTATATCTTGAGAAGATGCAATTTCAATACTCCAACCGTAGAGACTTCAGGGTTTATAACTGTTAGGTTTTTTTATTAAAGGTATATTGATCAATGATTCATTGATCAATATACCTTTAATAAAAAAACCTAACAGTTATAAACCCTAAAGTACATAACGTTGTTCACTATCTTGTGAAAAGCAGATTACAGAATGCCATTGCCACTCAGGGATGAATGCAAGATTGCAAGCAAGCAATCTAAATGAAAAATTAACACTGCTATGTGGCATTGAATGCTCATCTGACACGTCTTTGGCATGGGATGATAATTCTGGTGTGACAAGGTTAGATCTGTCTAAAAGCAACTCTGTCAAATATATGCTGCATGGATAGCTTCGATTCCAAGTCACAACCTCACTAGTTGACGGATGACGGAATGAAATGTTTGTTGTTGTTTGGTAAAACTTTTGTCTATTCATTTTTATGCGATTCATTGTTTATGTATACAGGTTATGATTAATCTCAAGTTATTGAGATCAATTGGCCTTTTTTTTCCTGTTATTCTAGCGGTAGTCCACGTTAAAATAAGGCTTATTTTTAGCTAAGCCTCCTAAAATATTCCTTTCAAACATATTCCTTTCTTTAATCTCCAACCTTCTTTTAGGCATAAAAGATAAGTAGCTACTAATTAGGCAGTGTTAAATCCTAGCTCATGCATAATTGGACAATAAAAGCGATAGTATTATGAAATTGAATCCTCCTAAATTCGAACTCAAACAAACAATCCAAGGGTGTTCAATTGAAAATCAAATCAAAGTGCTTTTCATTCAATTAGCCAGGTGTATCTCATTACTTGATCTTTTTCTTGCTTTTTGATACATAGACATGCTAATATGCCAATACATGAACTTAACCAGGAATGATGTAAATCCTTCCTATTTTCCACGGGATATGCATATTAGAGAGTTTTGAGGATGTCGTTAGTACATTTTATAACCGACTTGATGCAATTGATACCATAAAATAATAACAAACTCTATTCTCTTTAAATGAAAAAAACAGTTGGTTATATTCTTTGAGGGCTAGGTCTACACATAACACGTTCTTGAAGTGAGATGACTCGTGCATTTTTCATAGATATTTTCCAAATCATAAGACAATGGCTTTAAAGAGAATAAATAAAAATAGAACCTGCCTTGTTCTATTCTTTGTTAACTCTTTTTCTCCTTTTCAGTCGTCAGCCTTTTTGCCACCAACTACACTATTAGATGAGCTATCCTGTACACTACGAGAAGAAGAACATCTACTTGACGAACTGCCTTCTCTGTGTTCCAGCCTCGCTGACTTTTTAGATTTTCTTCGTACTGATGACAAATCCTACAAAACAATTAAGTTAGGTAAATGAGGACTGCCATTCCCAAAAATGTAAAATGAAACCAACAAGGTCCATCGTAATTGCGTTAAAATGATTGTATAGCTTTATATCTTTCACAAAACAACTTAAACATTAAAAGGCTACAGCTAACCTGATCCGAAGTAGATCCGGGAGTCTTCAACTCTAGTTCTGTAGTGACATCGATTGAATCATCACTTTTGTGAACCTGGCTCTAAAGTCATGGACCACATGGACCACCTCTAAAGTCAATGTTATCAACTGCTACAACCTACAATTGTTTGTCAATACCATATTAGCCTCTTGAGATGTGCTTACGTAAGTTTTAGAATAATTGGGCAGAGTTAAGAGAACCAAAACTCTGCAGAAGAACTCACACAAATCTAATCAGCAGAAGAACTCACACAGCTTGTACGTTTCAAAACCAATTTTCTTTCAAGAGAACCAAAAGAAGGAACTTTCAACAAGGTGCATCCAATTAACCAAACAAAACTTGTAAAGCTTTACAAGCATATCTTAGCCTACAGACAATTCAAATGATGAACATAATAAAAATGCTTACTTGAGTTACAATTTTACAAAATTAGGGTCTGTTTTCATAATTTCAAGCAATTGGATCTTTTCCCTCTTTGTTCTTTGGATTAAAATTTCACCAAAATTCAATACAATCATGTATTTTAAAAAAATGGAAGAAAAACCCTAATTTTAAACAAATTGAATGAAGACATGAATTGGGGGAAACAGATGGGTTTCAATCGAAGTTTTCAAACAAGAAATAATAGAGAATTTTTGAAGCACCTGAGTCACTTCTAATGATAACTCGCCCGACGCCCACTGCTAATTGTTGATGAGAGTGCTCTGACCTGTTTAAGACTCGAGCTTCCACTTCCAATGCTCTGACCTGTTTAAGACTCGAGCTTTAGAGGTTTGGTTTGAATGTAGAGCAGAAAATAAAACGTGAGAGTCACTAACCTTTTGATATGAGTGAGAATGGTCACCACCGCTGGCGCTAGCTGGGAATGAGAATGGTCACAGCGAGAGCTTGAGAGAGGATGAATTGGGAATGAGAATGGTCACAGTGAGCTTGAGCCTTGAGAGAGAATGAGATTGACAGAGTCTGAGAGAGAGATGAGGCTGAGAGAGGATGAAGAAGACCGAGAGCGGAGATACTGAGAGTGAGAGCCTTAGGAAAACAGGCAAGGTGAGACCAAGAGCGGAGAGACTGAGAGCGAATGAAGAAGACCCTAGGTTTTAGGTTACACTCGAGGTAAAACGGTGGTGTTTTAGAATTAGGATTGTTAATTAATAAAATAGCATAAAACGACGTCGTTTTGAAGATTTCGGTTCGGTTCGGTTCGGTTCCCGAACCCCAGAAACCGAAACCGATTTGGTTCAGTTTTTTTTTTGTTCGGGTTTTTCGGCCTCGGTCCGGTTTTCGGTCCGGTTTTTTTCGGTTTTCGGTTTTCAATTTTTCCAACCCACCCCTAGCATATAGCATCCAAATATATTGGAAAGATAAAAGTAAACAGTAATCAACGAAATTTTCTTAGTAGAACTTAGCCCTGGAAATTGACGAAACCAGTTCAATTTACAGGAATCAAACAGAGGATAAGAGAAAATTGGTCCGAGAAAATACCATGGTTGCGGATGAGCTGACGACAACAAAAGGGAGAGACAGCAGCGAAGGGCTGCGTTTCAGGAACTCTCATCGTCTGCTGTGTGGAGTAAACCCTAAAACACTAATGTGCGATTTGTAGTAGGTTTTTGGGTAGAACCAGAAAATCAACCCTACGCCCATCGCTCCCTCACTCTTTGTCTGTCTCCAATCGCTCAATCCTACCCCTTTTAGGACAACCATACTTCTCCCTCTCTCTCTGTCTCTGTCATTTCAAAGTCACATTCTTTATCAAATTCAACAACTGGATTTTGACAAAAAAAAAAAAAAAAAAAAAAAAAAAAACTGGATAATTCGCACAGATTGAAAAAAAAACCTACTCACATCGAGACAGAGATATTTCGGAAGCAGCGCAAAGTAGTCATGTGGAAGATCAAAGCTGTTCTGCATAGGAAATAATAAAATTGAAAAAAAAAATTAAAACTTTAAATTACAACTAAATTTATTCATTTCTTAATTGAAATCGACAAAAAAAAAAAGGCAAAATTTAAGCAATGCAGAGAAAACCCAGATCCCATCCCAAATTTGTACTCGAAGCCTTTTTAAAAATCACCCAACCATGAATCAGAGAAGAAGTAGAGGATTGAGTATGGGGGAGGAGAGACTGCAACAGAGAGAAAGTGTGCGTGCGTGTGTGTGTGTGTTTGAGCGCAGTGGTGCTGTTGCAAACGGCACAAAGGGATAAACCCAAACTTCAAAGCTAAATAAAAACCCAGAAATCCCCAACAACCTAGACCATAGATTTGAACAATCAAGAAGCTGCTGAATCAAAAATAAACCTTCAGGGGTTTCTCAAGCAAGAAAAACCACCGTCGGCAGAGATTTGCGAGCCGATTGAAGAAGAGATTTGTGACAGAGAAGTGGAAACGAAGGAAAAGCCCAGAAACTTGTAGCCTCTCTGGGGTTTTCAATGAAAGAAATTCGAAAGAGTGGAGCAGTTTTTCGGGAAGAAAGCTGCCGCGGATAATCGGCGAGAGAAAGATGCGAACGTTGGACATTTGATAAGAAGAAGCGGAGGAACAGCGCGAGTGAACTTGAGAGCTTTCTGAGAAAGAAAACTCGAGAGAAGCAGAAAAGAAAGAAGAAGAGTGCGACCCGTCAATTCCTTTTCCACAAGGACCAACACGTGGACATCAGGGGCAAACTGTAAATTCAATGTTCAAAACAGAGAAAAAAGCTTGAGAATTAGCAGCAGCCAAGGGCATTTTTGCCACTTTACTGTCCATAAACAGCACATCTGAGTTTGAGTTTTAGCATAGAAATAATGTATAATTGGCTTAGGAAATTGATTCTCTCTAATGGGATTTTTTTTTTTTTTTTGGTAAAATGGAAATGATCTGTACTTATTTTACAGAACATGAACTGCCAAGGGTCAACACTTGAAAAGGTGATTTGGGCGAAGGTCGTAAAGATGGGCATTTGTAAGTTTTTTCAAATTTCAATTTTTATTTTCTTGCTTTTATTTTAGTTTCTTATTACTAATTTTAATTTTGGGTGTATTTTTGACAGTGGTTGTCAAAACTTAATGTTGTTTTGATAGGTTTGATCATGTATATAAGCATTTGATAGTGAATACATGCAGAGTGCTTCGTAATTGAAAATAAGTAGAATGGTATATTCAGGTAGTTGTCAAGATTTTTGTTGATCACGTTTCGTTGTGATGCCAATTTACGGTTCTTATCATGTAAATTGGTCAACTAAAATGTTATTTTCTGTAAACCAATTTAGTTGTTGCTATTGTGTTCTTAAGCATGACATCTGACTGTCAGTGACATATTCTATTGTTTTGTACAGCTACCAGTGCCTAAACCTCCAACAAAATGGAAACTTTTGCCAAAACAAATGGTAAATCATTGCTGTAGGAGCCATACGGTACCTTTCTTATTTTTCTTTTTTCTTTCTTCTTTCTTCGTCCCCTCTCGAAGGTTTTGCTTTGGTTTCTCATATGTGGCCATTTGGGTATTGAGAAATGTAGTTGGATTTAAGATTTTGCGAAATTGGAACCTCTTTAGGAAAATGACACGATTTGGGATTGGACCTAAAAGAAAAGTCATCGGTATCCATGGACAAGATTTCTATCAGTTTGAATTTTGTTACAATAATTTCCCTTGACCATAATGTGTTTGACATTTCTGTTATTTGTGGTGTTCTGTGTACTGATTAATGTTTTGTATATGTTACCTTCCAATTGAAAATTAGGTCTCACAAAGAGAAGCGTTCCTTATATTCCCCTACTGAGAAATGTGTTAGGTGTGGTGGATGCTACAAAATAGAAAAATGTTGGCTTAAGGTTGGAGTCTAGGTAAATACGTGTTATTCCAGACGATGGAATTGCTTCATGGGTTTCTGTATTTTCCTAAACAAATTTCACTGAAAATGTTTTTGTTCACCTAGGGGTTCAAGAATAGTCAACAAGAACTTTAATCTTTAGACATTCTCATTGTTGCAGTCTCTAATGATTTAGTTAATCCTATTAGCCTATTGTTAGATCAATTAAAAGAGTGTTTTAGCCTTTTGTTAGTGTTTTGACTTATATACTTTCTCATCGTTATATCAATTTACCTCATTGTCATTCTGTGTAATTTATCTTTCTGGGTGTAAAATTGTTCATACAATTTCACTTTTGCATCTAATTAGTGGGCCAAAAAGAAAATTTTGAACATTTTAAATCCTAATCATCTCCATTTCAGCCAATGCATACATACATATGACATAAGGTTTTACATTAATCTGAATGCATACATTTGATCTTTGTTATTTTATTAGGACTCAAAGTGACATAAATTAGGAAAACCTAACCTTCAAAGTGACATGTGTTAATCATAAGTAATTGGTAAAAATACATAGGATTGATAGATGATGGTGGATCTCTAATGTTTTCTTAATTTGATTTCTTCAAAACTGTTTCCTTTTTCTTCATCTTTAATATTGTAGATTAGTTTATTTTTATTAATTAAATTCGTTTTAATTTAAGTAGGTTATAAAATCAGTCATCTTAATTTCTACTTTACAATAATTAATTAGAATTTGGTTTGCTTTGAATTATTTAATAATCCTTGTGAAGAACGACCTTGCGAGAATCGTTTATAATACAATATCCTTGTCATTCTTGCAAGAAATAAGGAGTTTTTAACCCGATTGTATGTGTGGTAAAATCCCTATCACCTATTGTTAGTGTAAAATAGGCTAAAATTCAATATATTAGATGTACTTTTTTGCAAGACATGGCACATTTTATGTCATGGTAGAAAGATATCTGCCAAGGCTAAAAGTCAATGTATTAGATGTTGACATTAATTTCAATCTCTTCACATTAGGCTATCAGTTAGATATACTGTTTTAGCCTATTGTTAATGTTTTAGCCTGTTGTTAGATTAGTTTGAATTTCGCTATCAGTTTGATATACTGCATTAGATGTTCATACAATCTCACTTCTGCATCTAATTTTGGATGTAAAAATGTTCATACAATCTGAATACATATATTTGACCTTTGTTATTGAGCTCATTGTCATTGTCACATTGATCTCTACTTCTGGGAACCAAGGTTACTAGCAGCAACACATAATACTTTTATATGATTAAGCTTTGAAATTTGTAGAGTTGTACGCTATAAGTAGAGTTTTCCAGCCAATGTAGCCATTTCTTTAAGGGGAAGGAAGACTTCACTGTCTGGCCCAAGACCTCAGCACACAGGCCATCGAACGAACTAATGGATGGATTTTGTGTATAAATTTTGGATTTTTGTTTATATAGTTAGATTTGAATATTTTTTTGGGTAAAATTTACAATTACATCATGTTATGGGTTCTTATGAGGGGTTAAATTGGCTTTGGGAGTTTTGATTTGATGAGATAGCTAGGAAGTATACAGGGAGAGAGGGAGGTAGGTCATTTGCAGGAATGGAGATTCGGGTGAGAAAAACCGTAGATGAGGGGTGAAAGAGAGATTTAGGGTTGGTGGTAGGAAGGGAAGGGAGAGATGAGAGAGACGGGCTGGGCTCTTTTTCCCTAATTTATTTTTAATTGATTTGGGGTTATTTTGAGTTTGGGTTCTGATCGGTGTGAAATGGCTTGGTGACAGAGTACATGTTTTTTTGCTAATTTGTGCCATGGTTCTGCAATTTTGTGCGTCAGGGTTTCTGAGTTTATCATTTCATTTTTTTGGTTGGTTGGTTTATTTTGCACGTTCCATTTACACAGGGACGATGACATCTTGGGCAGCTTCCACGATTTTGGTACACTTGAGGGTAAGATTAGTTCCACGATTTTGCAGGTTCCCTGTGCATCTACAGCTACCACTCTCAGCATGTTCGATTCCATTCTTCCGAGTAAGATTAGTTATACCCTCTTTGCTAATTCATTGTATTTTGGTTTCAGTTTTGAAGAAGTCTGTAAATTAATTTGGGGATTTTTTTCAGGTTCTGATGGCTGCCCCTAACAATGCGCCGATGGTTTTGGACAAAGGAATAGGTGAGTACCCTTTTGCTTCATTGTTCCAAAGTTTCTACTTTTTGTTCTGCAAAAACGAATTCAAGTCTTAGATTAGATTTAATGCATGCCCCAGATTGGATTTTGGGGAATGTTTTGGAAGCTAATGGTTAGATTGTTCAATGGGTGTTGGGAATCTGGGTGTTCTATGAGTTTAGACGTAATCAAATTGGATCTTATTTGTGTAATTGGTCAATGATGGCGGTGTTTCAACATTAGTAAAAGTGAAACCTAGCATGTCCTGAGAGTTAGAAGGCAATGAGATGGTTAATTTTACTATGAGTAATGGATTTTCTGTTCTTTGGTTTTGAATTATTGTTTTAAGTTTGTGTTTCTCAAATAATCTCAGGCAGGTTTTGGAAAGACCTGAATTTGGATTTAAACAATTGTGCAGATTTTTGGTATGGTAGATAAGGAGATGGAATATAGGGTTGAGTTGTCTAACAAGTAAGTTTTCTGCATGACATTGTTAATTTGTTGTATGCCTGTGTTAACTCTTCGTTTGAATAATTCACTTCGACATCATCAATATGCTTAAAAGTTATAATATACAGCTTTTATTTGATGCCAGAGGGAACTGTAGAGTTCGTTTTGGTGGAATTGGAGTTTTAACAACTTAACAGTAGACTAATAGGTAAGCATTTTAAATTCGACCAGGTGCATAGACTTGATTTGCAAGTTTACATTTCCACTGTAATTTATAATTGCACTATAGAGTACCACTGTAATTGTGAATGTTGTTCTGTTAATTAAATGCGTAGTAGATTTTGTAAAAAAATAATTTGTATATGGTTCCCACAGATTTAGAATGTGCAAGAAGCTAGGAAAAAGAATTTGTATACCTTGTTAATTTGATTTTGCTAAATATTAATTTTACTGTAATTGTTTGCTTTGTATTTTAGGTTTTTGGAATTCTGATGGTTGGTGGTTATTTTATGTTTTAATTGAAGCATTTGGTGATGATCAGTTTGTTAACGTGGTCACAATGTTAATTCCTTTCTTTGCTTCTCAGTTGATCTGAGCATCCTCCCTTCACTTCCTCGATCATCGGTTGGTTCTTCTTGCTTGGTTTAATTGGGTAAATTAATAATTTCGTGTATTGATAAAATCTCATGTGAGAGATTAATAAAGCTTTCATTTTTAATTTGTTGGTTTGTGATTATTGATTAGTTGGTTTGATTGAGTGGTTGTATATAAATTTTTTAGCGATAATGTACTAATGGCATTCCAGAGCTGGTTATCTAACAAATTTTGTAGCAAAATAATTTCAATGTTGGTGCTTTGTGGATTTTGCGTACTGTTACGGCTTCCTGGGACCTCATCATCTGTATTCTATGTGCTTCCGCTTTGTGCAGACGGTTATTTGCTGAAACTTTTCTGTTCTTAATATGGTGTGTATTTTATAATGATTGTTATTCCATACAAGCTTACTTTCCTTTGATTTTAACTTTTTCTGATAAAATGGTAGAAATCCACTTGCATTTGACAAATAATTTTCATCATTATCATCTCTTTTGTATAAAGGCAAGGGCTTGGAGGTATGTGGGACAGATGGTGGCGGTGGTATTTCCACCGAAGGAGCACAAAAATCAATGAAGGGGTTTTATTTTAATTGGACAAAAAGGGAGGTTAATCTCAAAAGTGTTCTCTTTTGGATTAAAGAAAAGGTATGGGAGGCATGTGGGCCTTCCATTAGTAAGGAGATTTCTTTATATGACTATGCAAGGATGGTGGGTCTTGACCCACAAAATCTTTTTGCTGGGTCATGTCTAGGCCCAATTAATCTAAAATTCAATGGCCTGAGATTTCAACGACAACAAGGAAAAGTATTGTCAACCATGGACAATACGCAGACATCCCTGTTGGTGGAATCAAAGCACTCGAATTGGTTGACAATAGGAAGTAGCACTTCAAAGTTTTCAACAGTGAACAAATCTCACCGCCTTTTGGCTAGGGAAGCTCATCACAATGGTGTTTCAAGAAGAACCCCAATTTGTTTCAAATTGAATTTCCTTGGGAGATTTGGCGAATCTGATAAATGTGGAAAAAGACTGAAGCATTTTCTTCCAGATGAGTTCGGATCTTATCAGACTCCTTTCGAGAGGCCTAAACTGAAGGAAATTCAATCTCCCAATCTCACTTTCTTAAATACTGTTTGCGAACAGATGGAAGAAAAGGAGAGTGATGTTGATGAAGTTCCAAGATGGTGTGTAGGAGGAGATTTTAATGTGGTGAGATTTGTAAATGAGAAATCAAATGGGGGAAGATGACTACAAGCATGAGGAACTTTAATGATTTCATCCAAGATACAGAACTCAAGGATCTGGAGTTGCTCAATGCTCAATTTACTTGGTCAAACTTCAGAGAAGAACCTGTGTGTCGGAGGTTAGATAGATTTTGTTCTCGGTGGTTGTGAAGAGATTTTTCCAGAGGTAAGACAAATGGCTTTGGCAAGGGTCACTTCTGATCATTGTCCAATCCAGCTAGATACTAACAAGGTGAAATAGGGGCCAAGTCCCTTCAGATTCGAAAACATGTGGATACAACACCCAGATTTCAGGAACAATTTCAAACAATGGTGGCAATCTGAGCAGGTGGAGGGTTGGGAGGGTTATAAAATTTTGTACAAGTTAAAAGCTATCAAAAGAAAGTTGCAAAGATGGAGTAAGGAAATTTTCGGTGATGTCGAGAAACAAATTAAGGATGCTGAGGCTAGCATAGAGGATTTAGATAGGAGAGAAGGGTTAGAAGGGCTAGATGTTGCTGCTAAAAGAAGGAAAAGTTACTTTTCCTTGTGGAAGATCTGGCTTATAAGGAAGAAGTCAAGTGGAGACAGAGAGGTAAAGTGGAATGGGCTAAAGAAGGGGACGGTAATACTAAATTTTTCCATAGAATAGCAAGTGGGAGAAGGAAGAGAAACTATATAGAAAGGTTGGAAGTGGATGACAGGGGAGTGGTAGAGGATGCAGAATAGATAGAAAAACATATCGTTAACTTCTTCAAGTCCCTGTTTAGTAGCAACGAAGAGGCATGTTGGGGCTTGGAAGGCATCAATTGGGCCTCAATAAGTGAATCTGAAGCAGCTTGGGTTGAGAGACCTTTTGAGGAATCGGAAGTACAAAGAGCAGTCTTTGATTGTGGAAGGGTTAAATCGCCAGGACCAGATGGTTATTCCTTGCAAATGTTTCAACATTTTTGGGAATTCTTGAAAGTGGATATTGTGAAGGTCATGGAGGAGTTCTTTGAGACAGGGATAATAAATGCGGTGACAAATGAAACATTTATTTGCCTAATTCCGAAAAAGTCAGATTCTTTGAAAGTGACGGACTACAGGCCTATAAGCCTAGTTACTGGTTTATACAAAATTGTGGCGAAAACCCTAGTTTCAAGATTAAGGGAGGTTATGGGCAGCACAATCTCTCCACATCAAGGAGGTTTTGTTAAAGGCCGACAAATTTTGGATGCTGTCCTTATTGCAAATGAGTTGGTAGAAGAGGTAAGGCAGAAGAAAGAGGAGGGATTGATGTTCAAAATCGATTTTGAAAAGGCATATGATCATGTTGAGTGGAGATTTTTAGACGAAATTTTACAAAGAAAAGGCTTTGGCAATAGATGGAGGAAATGGGTGCAAGGATGCCAAAATTCTGCAAATTTCTCCATTTTGATCAATGGGAGGCCTAAGGGAAAATTTCATGCTTCAAGAAGATTGAGACAAGGTGACCCACTGTCACCTTTTCTTTTTACCTTAGTAGTGGACGTCTTGAGTAGATTAATGGAGAAGGCTCACGAAAACCATCTGATCAAAGGTTTAGGCATTGGGCAAGAAAGGGTGGAGATCTCTCATCTTCAATTTGCTGATGATACCATTTTCTTCTTGGCGGAAGATGAGGACGTTTGGAACAATTTATTAGAGGTGCTCAATTTATTTTGTACTATTTCAGGGTTGAAAATCAACAAAGCAAAGTGTTCTATGGCTGGAATAAACTCAGATTGTGAGAAATTAAAAGGGATGGCAGATTCTTGGGGTTGTGAGGTGGGTAGTTGGCCAATAAAGTACTTGGGTCTCCCTCTTGGGGGTAGGCCAAAAGCACTTATGTTTTGGGATCCAGTGGTAGAAAAAATGGAAAAAAGACTTCAAAGTTGGAAGAAGGCCTTCTTATCCAAAGGAGGTAGATTAACTTTGATTCAATTTGTTTTGGGAAGCTTGCCAATCTACTACATGTCCTTGTTCAAAATTCCTTGCGGGGTGATTGGACGCCTAGAAAAACTAATGAAAGGGTTTCTTTGGGAAGGGGTGGAGGAAGGAAAGAAAAACCACTTGGTGAAATGGGAGATAGTTATTAAAAGTAAGGAGGAAGGGGGTTTATGTGTGGGGAATTTGAGGAATCAGAAAGAAGCGTTACTGGCTAAGTGGTTGTGGAGATTCCCAAAGGAACCAAATTCTCTCTGGCACAAGGTGATAAGAAGCAAGTATGGGCTGCAGGATAATGGGTGGAATGCAAATCCTCCATTGCGAGGTTCAAGTCGCAGCCCCTGGAAAGATATTTCATGTGGTCTCCAATCGTTTCTACAATGCTGCAAGTTTGAGGTGGGCAACGGGGAGAGGGTGAGGTTTTGGGAGGATGGTTGGTTGGAAGGGGGACCATTGAAAGAACAATATCCTAGATTATTCTTGCTATCGAGAATGCACAACCAGAACATCTCTAGTTTTGTGGATCTTTCTATCAATTCTTTGAGTTGGAATTTTGATTTCAGGAGAAATTTGAATCAGGTGGAGACAGAAGAGGCGGCTAGATTATTACAGAAAGTGGAAAATGTTCGCTTGTCTCAATCAAGAGCGGATGATAGAAGGTGGAAACTGGAATTATCAGGATTGTTCGCTTGCAAATCCTATCGCTCTTCCTTGAGCAACAATGGGATTGTGCAACATTTTCCACCCTCTTCTCAGATTTGGAAATCAAAAGTTCCTCCGAAGGTCAAAGTTCTTGTGTGGCTAGTGGCTATTGGGAAGCTCAACACTTGTGATCAAATTCAAAGGAGAAGTCCTTTTGTTTGTTTCTCTCCCCATTGGTGCAGTTTGTGTAAAGCTAAGGAGGAGAGTGTTAACCACATTTTTCTTCATTGTTCTTACACGATTCAACTGTGGTGGAAATTGTTTTAGGAGGTTAGAGTTAGTTGGGTCATTCCAAAGGGTTGTTTCAAGCTTCTAAGCACCAATTTTGAGGCTCTAGGAATTGGGAGGAAAGCTAAAGCTTTGTTGGGTTGTCTGGTGTCGGCAGTTTTTTGGAACATTTGGTTGGAGTGTAACAAAAGAATTTTTGAGGATTATACTGGTGTGGGGGTAGTAAATCTATGGGGAAGAGTAAGATATTGGGCAGCCCTCTGGGTTTCAGTTTCGAATGATTTTAAGAATTACTCTCTCACATATTGTGGGATATATTAGCAGTTGTAAATTGATTTGGGTTAAGGTTTTCCTACGTGTAATAAGATCCGCTTGAGAGACTTTCTTGTTATGTTCTTGGTGGATTTCTTATCCACTTCTGTGTATTTCACTTTTCATTTTTAATAAATTGTTATAGTTTCTTCTCAAAAAAAAAAAAATGTTTTCTGTTGTTTATATAATTCTAAGAGGAGAGAGATTAATGGCATGAGGGTAAAAAAAAGGGGAAGAAAATGGAAAGATGATTGGCCTATTTTGGCCTGAGTTTTTTTTTAATTGGTTTGGTTGTTTATGTTTGGTGTTCTTTTGCCCTAATTAATATTGTTTCGAATTCATATAGAATTTTGTTTATGTTTGGGGTTGTCATGTTCGAGTATTTAATTTGGTATTTGGTAGTTTGCGTTACAGTTGTTGTCGATTTTCTTAAAGGATAATCCAAGCGATAATGCCTTCTCTCATATATGTGCAAATGTTAACATTTGTAGATTTTCAGTTTTTAAACAATAAGATAATGTAACCATTTAGTCATTACGGTAAATGATTTTCGTTTTTTGCTTTGTGCCTTTAGTGATTAAGAAAGTTTAGTCATTTGTTTATTCACTTATTAATTACTTGGTGAGAGGATGAAACATTTTACTGCTGGTTACTAAGAAACTAACAGAATCTGACAGAAGAGTTTTCGTTTCTTCTTCTTTGCTTGCATTAATTTTGTATTGGTTTTTTTTTTAGAATTTTTTGTGCATATTTTTGGGAATGTTTATTTGGTTAGAGAAAGGGAAAGAATATAGGGGGAGGAGAATTATATCCTTCAATAGAAATGTTGCTTTCATATTAATGTAATTGGTTACAGGCTGAAAAAACAGTTGAGTGCTTTTGTCAAGCTTTAAAAAAAACAATGAAAAGAAATTAAATTTTATTTGCGTTTAATTTGTTGAGATATATTGAATTCGGTTGCTTGAGTAATTAGGGATTTGGTTGCTTGAGTGTCCTTAGGAGGAGCAGATTGAATAGATTTCTGGAGGTGAGCTCAGTTTTGGTGGTGTTTGGTGCCCAACAGTGTTGCAAGAAAAAAAAAAGAGCGGAAAAAGATGAAATTGGAATCTATGTTTGTCTAATTTTTGAAGCTGTGCTGAAATCTATGGGTTTGACCGTTTGAGGGTTAGTTTCTAGGAATGGTCCATTTGTGTTCTTTTTCTTCTACACGGTTACCAAAATCTCAAGTCCCCATTTGATCCTCGAGTACGACCCAATCATACTGGCTGTAATACAATCATATTTTTGAGGTTTTGATTTTTTACTCTTATGTTTCTGCCCATTACATGTTTCTGCCCAATCATATTTACTCATGTTTTCGTGGTTAGAAAATACATGCATGTTCTCTAAACCAAAATACACGACTTCTATTTTTTATGGAAACAGGCGTCCTACATGTTTTTGCTTTGCACATTTGTGCTTGAAAACTTAGATGCTAGAATAAGAACGAAACAGTTTTTATATTTTTTTGTCAACTGCAGGGGTAAGATTTGTGTGAACTGCATGTTGCTTATGTTTCTTCTGTTTATTAGGGAAACAGAACATTCAGTTTCGTCATGTTAATTGTACAATGTCTTTTCATATTAGCTAAGTTGAATGTATATAAAAACGAAGCTGCATATCTTACCGACCCCATTCACTCATCTATCCCTCTGTTTATTCGTGATTGTGTTGAATTTATTCAGGTAGAATGTGTCTTATTCATGCAATTCAAGGTGATGCATTCAAGTCCTGCAGCAACGCGCATGCATATTTTCTAGTAATAACTAAAATAGACCAAGAATAGGGAATAATGCATAGGAATCGTCAAGTAAGGGTGTTAACAATGGCAGGCGAAGATACCATGATAACTCTGAGATTAAACAGTGGTAGAATACAGAGAAAGCTAGAGAGTTTGAAGATAGAAAGTAGAGTCACTGAATATTCAATATATCACTCCAATTATTACATAATTTGTATTAATGAATACAACAACACATAACTAACTCCTAGAGTCATCAATACAAGTGTGACCCATGACAGTATCTAAGATTCTTGTCTTGTACTTGGTTTGATGAGCCTCCTATCTTCATTTGTAATTCTCTTGAGGAGGACCTCTCCATCCCATGTATTATATAGCTTTGTCTACCTCTTTGAAATGAAATGAAATAGCGCCTTTTTTCTCAACAAGTAATTTTGCAGTCATACTTCCACGGAGGGAGAGAGACAGAGAGAGGGACTAGAAATGGAGGGTGAAATCCATAACTTCATCAAGGTATGGATCTTAGCCAACGTCTCTCTGTGTTATTGTTTCTACATAGCATCAAGAATCCCAAAGGGCATCACCAGGTTCATATCTCTCCTCCCCATCTTCTACCAGTTCATCATCCTCCCCTTAAATCTCCATTCTGTCATCCTTTGTGGGCTCACCACCTTCTTCCTAGTTTGGCTTGGCAACTTCAAGCTGCTCCTTTTCTCCGTTGACCTTGGTCCTTTATCTCCACCCCCACCAACACTCTTCCAATTCATCTCCATAGGTTGCCTTCCAATCCAAATCAAGCAAAACCCACCACAAGAATCACCCCAAAATACAAACCCACCTCAACAAACCACCCAAAACCCCACAAGATCTGAGAACGCAGTCGTTCAAACTGTCACAAATGTGCCTAAAAACTCACTTACGCTGGCCATAAAAGCGTTGCTATTCGATTTGGTCATTAGGTCATTTGAGTATAAACAACATTTACACCCATATGTAATCTCGGCTTTGTACTACTGTCTCATGTACCTGGCGCTAGAAATTGTGCTAGCTCTGGGTGCGACCCCGGCTCGAGCCTTTTTCAGGTTTGAGCTCGAGCCCCAGTTCAATAAGCCTCACCTATCCACTTCGCTTCAAGACTTTTGGAGCCGGAGATGGAACATCATGGTCACAAAGATTCTACGGCCCAGCATGTACTACCCTGTACGACGTATTTGTACACCTATACTCGGCCCTCGGTCGGCCCGAAACCTCGCTGTGATGTCCACTTTTACCGTATCAGGTCTAATGCACGAGGTAATATATTATTATCTCACACGTGTGCCTCCAACGTGGGAAGTGACATGGTTCTTTGTGCTACATGGGATGAGCATGGTAATTGAGGTGGAGGTGAAAAAGGCGGCGGTTAATAGGTGGCGGTTGCACCGTCTGGTTTCTGGGCCGTCCACGTTGGTGTTCTTGGTTGTGACAGCCAATTGGCTGTTCTTCCCTCAGCAGCTGAGAAATGGCATCTACATAAAGGCTGCAAACGAGCATGCAATTGTGCAAGATTTTGTCAAGTCACACCTGCCTTTGCACATTATTGGTAGAAAAGGTAGTTGATACACGAATGATTTGTATGTCTAGTAATACTCAATAATGGAAATAATTTGAAGTCATAAAAAGTTCTGGTTTCCAGTTGTGACCGGTTATATATTGAAATAAACTTCATAATGTAATAAATTATTATTTTTCTTAGTCAATTTTAAGAAAACAAGTCTACACATAATTGTAATTGTTAATGAGTCCAATATATGCAATATCACAAAAATAAAAAATAAAAAGTTAAGATGAACTAAAATATGCAATACCATGACTATCCTCTTTTAGCTCCAGTGGGAATTTAATGCCTTTGTTGTTTTTTATTTTTTTTTTATTTTTTATTTTTTTATTTTTTTGTGCGCACAACTCAATACGAATAATCTTTACAGTTAATTGATTTTTCATATTGGTCTTGGGCGTTGACACATCCCGACCTGGATCGAGGTATGCTGGTCATCACGTGAAGGTGACGTAGCTATGTGCACAGTGTGGAAGCAATAATAATATAAGAAATGTGAATAAACAAAAAACCAAACCAACTAGAGCACTAGATAAGATAAGTGCAAGACAAAATTAAGTGTAAGTTCACAATCAGAGCATAAGTAGCCAAAGTGTAGTCCAGTAGGACGAATACTAATTCTACAAACATCCAAGGTAATTCTACAATGGTGATAATCTGTCAGAGCTGCCGTGGATTCCTTGCAAGCCACCAATAAGCACTCCTAACTAGAACCCTGGAGGGCCACAAAACAGAAAGTGTGAGTGGGCAAAAACAAAACTTTTCAAAACCATTTCAATTATCAAAGATAGTAACCCTTAATCGTAAAACCTGTATAATTTCTCAGAAAATAGAATACACAACCATGCTTAGAATAGCAAAATCCTCATATATATATATATATATATATATATATATATGCCATGTCGAATATCTCAACATAAAAATATGTAAGCCAGGTGATATAAATCAATGCAAAATGATATGTCAGCCGGAGTCACCTAACGTGACCTGTACGGCTGAATCTAGAGCTTATCCATACAGCTGAAGTCACCTAACGTGACTTATACGGCTCAAATCCATATCTCAACAAATATACCTGCACACGAGTCGGAACCACCTAAAGTGGTCTGTACGACAGGACTAGGTGTAAATAAATACGCTCAAGTGCTACGATCACGTGAAGACTTTGCGAATAATCGTGGGTCACCTACGAATCGGAACCACCTATAGTGGTCTGTACGATAGGATTGTGCACTTAACTTGGATCCAAGGTGAGCGTATGGTGCGGGAGGTGAACATCACGTGAAGGACTGTGCCCAAGCCACGGGTGGGAGCACTAACATCGGGGTGCAGGTTATGAGCTCAAAATATATCTCAACATAATCATGCAACTCACATCCACAATCAATAAACTCACCTGGTACTTACCTGAGCGCCCACAGCGTCAACGACAATATATGCAACTACTAAATACATATTCTAATTATAAGACATTTGGCATGACATTTCAAAACATATGAATCATTGAAATTAATTTTCTGGGAAAAATACCAAGCATATATATGTATACAGAAAACCAAAAGCCCACTCATTGATATGTGGAAAGGTCGTAGTCCCCAAGTCTAGCTTGATTGCGCTCGTCATCTGGATATGTCTCACCTATATGTGAAACAATTATATAAATGTTATTTAAAGCACATAAACAAAACTGGGTAATAACTTCTCACACATTACTCAATTGGGATGTTTGAATATACCAATGTGATCTACTCAACCCCACGAACATCCCCATATTTTTAGAAAAAATTTTTGATGACCCACGCGCCGGCCACGCGCAGGCACGTGCCTTGCACACGTACGGAAACCCTAACGGCGTTAGGGAATATTCTATCCGAAAATGGAATATATCGTTAAATATACCTGACACCGTTAGTAACGTTGTTAGTATATTCCATCAAAAGTTGACGGAATATTCTTCGTCTTCTCTGATGATCCTTGCCGGAGCTGCCACTGGCCACCGTCTGCGTCGTCGGAAACTGGAAAAACTTCTAATCGTCATATCATTTTCATTTTTCAACCAAACTTCATGAAATTTAAACCAAAATGAAGCTTAGGATGATAGGAACAAAACCTTACCACTTCTAGGTCCTAAAACTCATGGGATCTCACTGGAAAAATCACGATAATCCGGCCACCTCTGCAACTTGACAAACGCGAGCTTCCTAACGTCCAAAACCTTCCAAAATTATTCCCTAAGATTTGTGAAGAAGTTCTAAGGCTCTTTAACACCTCCAAACTCTATAAAACCTCCTCGATCACGATGGATGAACAATGTACCTCATCGGGGTTTTCTGGTTCTCGAGTAAATGAAGTCTTCACGTTCAACTACGAGTATAGATCGACTCCTGAGCTTGCAAGGAGTCCAAAAACACCAACCACAACCTTGATCCGCCAATGCTCAAGTGGTTTGAGAAGTTGTCCGTACAATTGTACGAAAATGGAAAGAAATCTGAGAGGGAGGAGAAAGAGTCAACGAGAGAGTGGTATAGATGTGTGTGTGTGGTCCATATGGCAGCCAACCAAAACAAAAGAAAATACAATAAAACCTAAGTTCTAATTGGTTCCAAAAACTAAGGAAAACATGAATTGGACCACAACCAAAGTGCATGTCACACAACACCATTTAACGTCCAAGGGTATAAAAGTCATTTCACGCTATCGAGGATAAAATAATATACCTATTCGGGACGAGCTGTCACAACCTACTCCTTTGAAGAAAATTTCATCCTCGAAATTCACATAACAACAAACAAACCTCTAATAATCATAAAACAAGTGTGGATACATCTCTTTCATACGCTCCTCTATCTCCTAGGTAGCTTCATCCACTGAGTGATTCCTCCACAAAACTTTTACTATGTGCACGGTCTTATTCCTCAGAACTTTATCTTTCCAATCCAAGATTGTCACTAGCTCCTCGTCATAAGTCAAATCTGGATTAATTTCCAATGGTTGAAGAGGTATCACATGTGATGGATTTGAAATATAATGATGAAGCATCGAGACATGGAACACATCGTGCACTTTAGACAACTCTGGAGGCAACTCAAGCCTGTAAGCAACTTCACCGACTCGCTCGGTGATCCGATACAGTCCAATATACCCAGGATTTAGCTTACTTTTCTTCCCAAACTGCACAACACCTCCCCACGGTGACAACTTCAGAAATACCCAATCACCAACTTTATACACATGGTCGGTCAGTGGCATGCTTGTTTGCTAGACTCTTTTGTCGATCCTGTTAGACTTAATTACCTAAACATTCTAAGGAGTCTCATCTAAAATCTAAGGGCCTACCAATACTCTTTCACCAACCTCTGACCAGCATAATGGTGTTCGACAAGATTTGCCATAAAGTGCCTTAAAAGGTGACATACCAATGCTCAAATGGTAACTGTTATTGTAGGCAAACTCCATCAAATCTAACCGCTGATGCCAGGCGTCGTCAAACTGCAATACTAAAGATCTTAGCATATCCTCCAGTGTCTGAATAGTCCTTTCAGATTGTTGTACTGTAAAGTAATCTCGAACCCACAGCCTCCTGAAATGCCATCCAGAACTTATAAGTGAACCTAGGATCCCGATCTGAAATGATACTAACTAGAACCCATGGTATTTAACAATCTTTGGTATGAATAATTCAGCTAATCGGCTTAAAGAATATTTCTCCCTCACTGGAATAAAATGCGCTGATTTAGTAAGTCGATCAACAATCACCCAAATACCATCATAACCATTTCGTGTACGAGGAAGCTTGTACATGAAATCCATGGTAATATCTTCCCATTTCCACTGTGGAATAGGAAGCGACTGCATCAATCCAAATGACTTTTTCCTTTTAGCTTTAACTTGCTGACAAATGGCACACCTACTCACATACTCCGCAATTTCTCTTTTCATACCCGGCCAATAATAAAATAGTCGAATGGTATGATACATTTTAGTACCTCCAGGATGCATTGCATAAGTCGAACAGTGCGCTTCATCCAAAATTTCTTTCTTTAATTCCACATTATTTGGCACGTACATTCTGTTCTCCTGCATAAGCATGCCATCAGTCTCCCGAACTCTAAGATCTTTCTTTTTCCTTTGATTTCTTACCTCAATTAACTCCTGGGTTTCTTCATCATTCATCTGAGCCTCGAGCACACAATCAATTAAAATTGGTCTGACCTGAAAATTAGCAAGCAAAGCTTCCTCTCGCTCTGCCACCCCTAACTTCACTCCAGTGGCCCTCAAATCTGCAAGAACAGGGATACGACTAGCGTACAAAGTATTAATTCGGCCTAGAGACTTCCTACTAAGTGTGTCTGCCACCACATTTGCACGACCAGGGTGATACTCAATCGTGCAATCATAATCATTGATTAACTCTATCCACCTTCGTTGACGAAGATTAAGATTCCTCTGAGTGAAAAGATACTGAAGACTTTTATGATTCGTAAAAATCTTACATTTTTCACCATAAAGGTAATGTCTCCAAATCTTTAGGGCAAAAATAATAGTTGCTAATTCAAGATCATGAGTAGGATAATTCATCTCATGAGGTTTCAACTGTCACGAAGCATAAGCAATCACCCTATCATGCTGCATCAACACACAACCCAAACCATTCAAGGAAGCGTCACTGTAGATCTCGAAATTACCACTATCATCTGGGAGCACAAAAAAAGGTGCATGAGTGAGACAATACTTCAACTGCTGGAAGCTCTGCTCACAATTATCATCCCACTCAAATTTAATATCCTTCATAGTTAACCTTGTTAGTGGTAAAGCAATAATTGAAAAATCTTTAACAAACCGTCGACAATAACTTGCTAGACCAAGGAAACTCCATACCTCTATGACGGTTCGTGGCTACTCCCAATTTTCAACGGTTGCTACCTTTTGAGGGTACACCAGAATACCTTAGGTGGATATAACATGTCCCAAAAATGCCACTTGATCTAACCAAAATTGGCATTTGCTAAACTTAGCATACAATTGGTGTTCCATCAATTTCTTGAGCACCAAAGTGAGATGTCGAACATGCTCTGATTTAGACTTGAGTATACCAGAATATCATCAATAAAGATAATGACAAACCTGTCTAAATATGGC